CCAACGCGTTGCACCCCACTACCCTACGACATCTCATTACGACATTTCGTAACACACGACCACACTACACTGCAACCTGAGAGACATACACACATATGCATGCATACAGACAGACATACAGACAGACATGCACGCGGGGGGCCATGCCGCAGGTCAAGGCACAGGCGCAGGCGCGTATAGCGGAGCTAGAGGCAGCACTCGGCCCGGCTCGGCAGGTTTTAGTCCCCCCGCCCCTTCACCCGGTGACCAGTGTGGGAGCATCCGGGCAGGTGGGGCCGCTTGGACCCCTTGCGTCGATTGGCACCTCCACGGCACAGACGCAGCAGCAGCAGCTGCAGCAGCAGCCCTCCTTGCCCGCGGCCCTCTCAGCAAACAATCCTTTTGCTGGCGCCTTCCCAACAGCCCCGTCGTACATCTCGATGCCGCCGCCGCCGGCGGCCGTTGCCATGGGCGGCGGCGGCGGCGGCGGCACGTTTGCGTCACTCGGAGTGCCGCCGCCGCCGCCGCCGGCTGCTTCCGCAACAACCCAGGTTCCTGCGCAGCCGGACTTCTTCAGCGCCTTTGACGACCTTGCGGTGTTGCCGTCTAAGTCAGCTGGAGCTGCTCCGCCTCCTCCTGCTCCTCCTCCTCCTCCTCCTCCCTCTGCTGCTGCTGTTGCCCTTGCTGCCACGTCCTCCACTTCTTCAGCGGCAGCACCCATCGCAGCCCCGCCGGCGGCATTCGGCTCCGGCGCTGCTGGCGGCCGCCCGGACGGCGCCGCCGCGGCCGCCGGTTCCTGGGTCAACTTTGTGCATTAACGTGGCGGAGGTGGGGGGGAGGCTCCCTCCCTGCTGTCCTGCTCAGGTTGGGAGTCAGGTTGGGAATCAGGTCGGGGTTCAGGTCAGGACGGCGGGCGCGGGGTAGGCGTCAGGGACATGCCAGGCCGCGGGTGCAACAGCGGCCGTAGTTTACATCACAGCGCGTGCGTGCTGTACGGGTTGATATATAGGTTGCATCTGCGCCGGTGAGCGGCCAGCGAGGTGGTGCATGGCGGATCATGGTGCAGAGGCGGATCAGGTTGATCATGTGGCGATATGGCTATGGCGCTAGCACCGCCAAGTATGCAGCGTGTGTCATCGGTAGTGTTATTACATGTTGATGATGGTCTTGTCACAGGTTGGGTGGGTGAAGGAAAAGACAAAACGGAGGCCCTGTCGGCGGATAAGGAAAAGGGCGCGGCAGGATTTGTGTTGTGTTTTGTGCGGGGGACGATTTCTCGCAGCAGCACGCAGACTGAGAGTGATATTTCGTGAGCGTTGTTTGCTTCTTTGCTTTGATGGCTTTTGCCAGGTGAAAGGAGGGGGTGAAGAAGGAGATTTGTAAGCCGGCCGTTAGCGTGCGTGCGTGTTGTGTATGTGTGTGTATGTATGTGTGTGTGTGTGTGCGTGCTTGTGTGGGCAGTTGCTTGGGGTTGCTGCTCTCTTTTTCCGAAGTGCGCAAAGTACAAAACTCTGCTGCTGCTGCTGCTGCTGCTGCCTGGTCTCTGATGCATTTCATGTCATTATCTTGTCCGAAGTCGCTTATGATGGGCGTGATGAAGGGTGTAGCAGGGAACTCTTGGCAAGTTACAAGCTCCACGCCAATGGGGAGACGGCCATGGCATGGCCCGTAGCAGCTTTGCTTTGTGCTTTAGTTTGTTGCCCGCTTGGCCGCTTGGCTGCTTATTACGTTGCTGTGGTAATTGCTCACCTCATGCGGTGGCAATTTTTCCGCGAGGCTCTGTTGCGGCGGTTCGACACGAACATCTAACACGGGGGGCCTCGTTCTCGTCAGCGGCGGAGGCGAAGGGAGAGGGACGGCGGGGAGGAGAACTTTTGACTTGGAAAAACGTTGGGACATGGAACTTGCTTGCTGGCCGCTTGGCTAGCGGGTTGCGGGGTGGTGAAGTTGATGGTGGGTGTGGTGAGCGGGTGGAGCGCGCCGACTGCTAACATGGGCAGGCGGCGAGTGCGCTTTAGTCAATGGAGGAGGTGTATCGCGGGGGTTCGGAGTACGGAGGAGTAGTGGTTTAGACTAAGGAAGAGGTTGGGCGTTTCTTGTTGGTGTGGAGGTGTACGGACGGGCTTTTTGCGCCTGTCTCTCCACAGCTGTCTCTCACGGTTTTCTCGTCTTGTGGCCTTTGAGCCGCATAAACATTGGCAGCTGCAGAAGCGTTGTGAGCTGCAGCAATGCATGAATTGGCGCTGTGCATGGCTTATCAGCAAGTATGCAAGTGGCTGCGTCCCTGAAACCGAAGGTGTTGTGATTCGCGGAAGGCCAAAACATTGAAGGCCAAAACATTGAGGAACCCAAAGCGCGAACGACTTGAACGACAGGCTCTTGCTTCGTGTTGTACCGGCAAAATCTTAAAGCTGACAGGAAAGCCTCCAAAAAAGACACTTTTGGTGAGGGGCTCCCAAGGTGTGGGGAAGGGAGAGGGTCAGGTAACCTTAGAGCGGTTAGGCTAGATTTGATGAAATACCCGGAACACGCGCCCTTCAAGGTCTTGTCGCATCGATCGGCATACGTGTTAGGTTTTTTAGTCAGTTGTTGAGTAGTTAACTCGACTCCATCCATATTTCTATGCTAAAATTTCCTGAAAGGTAGGGAAAATGTACGCATGCAAGCAACGTGTGCGTGTATTTACTCGTGAAACAGAGTTTCTCGTTCAAGCTTGAGTCGTCACCCCCGTCCGCCCCATAACATCGCGGTGAGCCGCTTATTGCTCAGTCCTGCCGTGTTGCGTTACAGTAGCTAGGCCGCCAACCTCAAGCGCAACTCGATAGCAAACAACCCTCTGCGAAACCCCCTCCCAACACCAACCCATTGTGAAAGTTGCACTAGTGGCCGATAGTGATGACAGTTACCTGTGTTGCACCGTTAACGAATCTACCACCTCAAGCGCCTGACAAGTGCCGACGAGCCACACGGGCGACCCACCCGAGCCCCGCAGAGACAAAACCATGAACCGCTGCATTGTGGCAACCCCCCGGATCGCCCTTGGGTGGGGGTTACAACGAGGCACAGACGAGTGACGACGAGAGAACGAACATAGACGGATACTCAAGATTGTACCAATAATAAAGGACAATTAGTAAGATACCGACCCGTGGGTGGGTGTGGGGAAACTAGAGGACACTGTGCCAGCAGCAAGACACAGCTCTTGGTATTAGTCAAAACAACGGCAGTTAAAGGACCGATGCGCCTGTGGGACCCAAGTAGGAGCTTGGCGTCCCCCTGCCGTACTGTAGTCCGGCACATGCATGCATGCGCCCTGCTTCCACGCACCACGGCAGCTCCTCACACTCATAACTCGTTTGGAGAAGTCGAAGCTTCTCGGCGATGTGTGCCTTCTCCACGTATTCCACTCGAGATTGTGCATCTGAATGAGGAAGAGAATCTGGTCTTAGGCAGGGACGGGCAGCGTTCTCCGCATTTCATGCATGGGACAAGCTACGAAATGCGCAGGCCCGAAATAATTTGTCTCATCTTGGCGGTGTCACGGCTGCGACTCGTGAAGCTTCTGAGCTAGGCAGAACCACCAGCTACTGTCAAGCGCCATCTTTGAGGTAGAACGGGGTTCCGTACGGCCTACCGTACCCCCGGCAAGGTAACGCACTTGTGACACAAATTCCATTCTCAGCTCATGGTAGTGTACCTAGACAATAAACAGATACAATTGACTAGAGAGATGCAAAAATGTTCGGACTTTTGTACAATTTCTACAAGTTCTGCAAGAAGAAATCGGAGCGCAAGATAACACTTGCACTTTTAGGCCTGGATAACGCTGGAAAGACTACTTTGCTGAACACTATTAAAGGCGAGGTGCAACAAGTGACAAGTCCAACTTTTGGCTTCAATAGCTCAACGTTACAGGAGGGCAAATACAAAATAGAAGTCTTTGATTTAGGTGGAGGAAAGACTTTTCGAAGTGTATGGTCTAAGTATCTGGCGGAAGTCCATGCGATTGTCTACGTCGTGGACGCGGCTGACTCGCAACGCTTTGAGGAGTCCAAGAAGGCCCTCCATGACGTCCTGGAGTGCCATTACATGCGTGAAAAAGCAATCCTTGTCTTCGCCAACAAGCAGGATTTGCCAACAGCGTCTACAGCAGCTGAAGTTGTCAAAGGTCTTGGCTTGGCGACCTGCCGGAACAGCCACAACGTGTTTCCCTGCACTGCAAAAACCCCAGCGGGAACTGCGGTAGATGAGCGCTTGCGAGAAGGGCTCCGCTGGCTCACCGGTTTCATAGACCGTGAGTATGGCCGGTTGAACTCTCGGGTGGAAGCCGAGACGCAGGAGGTGCGCCAGGAAGAGGCACGCAAGAAGAAGGAGCGGGATGAGCGCTTGAGGCGGCAGCGCGAAGAGCGCTTGCGGCAGCAAAAGGAGGAGGAGGACCGCGCCCGGGAGGTGGAGAAAGAGAACGCGCTGCACAATGGGCAAGGCCCGGCGCTTCTAACGTTGCCCGTCAACGGCCAGCTGGAGCCGCAGGAGGCGCCGGAGCCGTTGGTGCCGCAGCAAGCTGGGGAGAAAGTCCAGGCACTACATAATGGGGTTGCACTGGGCTTGCCACACACGATAGAGAGGTAGGGTGGTGCGCGGTAGGCACAGATGTCCGCGTTGGTTCGCAGCGCTTCGATGTGTTTCCCCCATGCCCCCGCTCGGGGAATAGAAGAATAGAAGAGAAGAATAGAAGAGGAATGAAGTGGGCTAGGGTTTGTGGACTAGACTGTTTGGTTCAGGGCTGCCGGGCCTACTCTTAGACAACGTTGCGAGTCTGGGCCAGGCCAAGCTCGGCCGAGCTGTTGCTCTATATTTGGCACCCAGATCCAGTTTTCCTGAATAGCGACGGAACCGTTAAGTCGTTACTTGCCGCATAGCTGGAATTTCATTGAGCATATCCAACTTGCGCGCGCCTGTCTGAGACACGTCTGTGGTCGCCCTAAGAAACAATTGCACGGTTTCCCACTTCCGTATAATGCACATATCCGCCATAGCTGGCGTAGCCCATGGAAGCAAGCGGCTGTGAGCATCTTAGTCGGTATGACTGCGGCAGGCAGTGCGTTCTTGTTTCTCGGAGGCGAGTATGCGATAAGCATGTGCTAAGGAGCCCGAACCCCTGTGCGCCCTTGGCTGTCGCAGCCCTGGCAAGTTGCCGATGCCGCGGCGTGCGTTAGGTATGGCCGCCAGCGACATAGGTCCTTCCGCCTCAGATCAAGGGCCCGGCGGGGGAGCTCAGGCCTTAGGTGTACCTGATAGTGGGACCGCGGCCTCCCGTTATCTCCAGCCGGTGGCACCTCGGATGAGCCCGCTGCCAAGGCCGTCTTCAGCGCAGAGCCGCGCCAGCGAAGGTAGCGGGGCTGGCGGCGGCGGTGCAGCTCTGGCGGCGTCCACATCTGTAGCGGCGGCGCGGCCGGCATCAGCGGGACGCAGCGGCGGCGGGAGTGGCGGCGGCAGCAGCTGTTCCTCCCCTAGGCGGCCGGGTTCTGCAGGCTCGCGTGCAGAGGGCACTGCATGTGAAGCCCCAGATGAGGCGGCGGCAGGGGGCCACCAACATCGGCCGCGGTTAGCTAAGGTGTCCTCGGGCGGGCTCGGCTCCAGTGTGGCGTCCGATGCGGCTCCACGAGGCAGTTTTAGTTTGGTAAATCAGAACAAGGTGGTACCCGTAGCATTGGGAATAGTCCAAGATTTGCCGGCGTAGGAGGACGGTAGGTTTTCATGGAATGGGGCTGGTAGGGCTGGCTAAGCATAGGGCTCCGTGGTGCGGCGGGGTGATAACTGTGAAGGTAGCGGTTGGACTTGGTGCTGCGCCTTCCATGTACAGCTTGGTTATTGATTGGGACAGGTGATGGCCGGTCAATTGTGTATGCGGCTGGCGGTGTGCATATGTAGGAGCGTGCGCGCTTACTGGTTGGACTGCATGGGCGTCCACACTGAATGACCACAGCAAATGAATGATCTGTACATGTTCTGATGACGCAGGCCCGGCTTGAGAGTACAGCCGACATCACTATCAATTCTTCACTTGAAATGGCTGCTGAGAATGTGCACTTATCATTTTAAGGATTGGCAGTTGACTCCGACGGGGCTAGGGAGTGTTTCCATACAAGATAACCTCGGGTTTCGCATCCGGATGCGAAACCCGCTGTGGGTTTGATGAGCAAGCTTGTCAAGCGATTTAATATACAACCGCCTGAACTCCATTATCGTCCACATATCATCGAATAACCAGGCCTTGCATCTCCCGACACCCTGTGCCGATGACCATTGCTCACAAAGTCACTGCGACAGGGAATATGGGAACGAAATCACGAGCCCGCCCAGCTTCAGCTGCTTGCATTCCTTAGTCTTTGTTTGGCACCGCCTATTACATTAGGGCGCTTGCCACACCGCTAACCCCTCCACAGCAGGATGCCACGTCCTAAGCCCCACGCGCCAGGGCCCAGTTAAGAGGCTGCTACGTCACGCGACTCCGACAAATCAGCAAAGCTCATCACACCGTAAGCCGCGATACTGGTATCTGCCTACATTTACCGCATTCTCGACCCTAGAAACTTCCATGCTTACTAAAAACGACATTCTAGGACCTGCTGAACTTTTCAAGTAGGTAACTGGGTACGCGGAAGGGCCCTCTGCGCGTTCCGCTTCGTTGAAGATGCCCATCCCGCATCTGGACATCACACCCGGCCAAAAGCAACAGCAGTTATGACTCACCTCTTGGCGCAGGAACAACTACTAGAGATGCGACGAATCATATCACAATACGAAAAGGAAAAATTGTCTTTTACCTTAATGGAGGAACACACGCCAAGCGCGTGTGATGAAAACTGTACCGAAGCCAGCTGAATGGATTTGAGGTGGCGCTCGGCACCCTGCCCTCGGCCCCGGGGAGACCCAGCACGCCTAATAATCCCGCTGTACACTAACTGAAACAAGATATCGCGCTGGCGACAAAGCGCGCCAACGTCAGACGGCGGGTCGACCAGCGTCGATCCCCATTCTTCTTCACCTCCCCAGCACATCAGAGCCCTACCCCACCACTTCATGAAGCAACCTAGGCTAACTCACCGACATAAACGCACGTCCCGGACCTTCGCAAATGCTGGCACAGCAGCCCCCGCGTATACTCACATGCCGTGCTCAGTAACCATCGCCCACTTCTTGTCCCGTCAATCTTCTATTACACCCCAAGAATGAACCTCGCTGCTTAAGAGCTCGGCCAACAAACGCACTGAATTTTGCCCCGCTAAAAGGTTCACGCATCTCCACAAAAACGCACAGCTTGTCAGCGGCCGCCCCGTGGGATTCCTCTCCTGCTGTTCCCCGGCCCTAACAAGTACCCAAAACTGTACGCCAAATTGGACCCAGGAACGTCATTTTAGAGCTCACAACAAGGCCATACACAGCACAGTCCGTGAGTCATGCACTCGCTCAACCCTAATAGAGACTAATCTACATGCGTGTCATGCCCCCAATCCCCACTGCGCGACACCAAAACATGGGCCATTTAGCCATTAAAGTCACATTCAATGGGTGCAGCAACGCTCGTGTCTTCTGTCTGTCTGCCTGCCTATCTGTCTGCTGCCCTACATCACCGAACTTACTCGGGTCGGGTTCCCCCTAAGGTGCTGCTGCCGGTTCCGTGCAGTCTGGAAACCAAATCCTAATGGTGCCGTCCTCAGAGCCGCTAGCGTACGCATCGTAAGTGGGAGCCCAGCGAATGGTGTGGACCGGACCGTGGTGGCCCTTGTTACACTCCAGTTCCTGTGCACATACATGCATAGCCGCAAACAGTTTTTTTAACGGGCCAGCATCCACTTTCACGGAAAGAACTGTTTATCTCTGCAGTGATGATGAAAATACACCAGAAACTTGGAACGCGACGTTAGGGCCACGAAGCCAACCATAAGGCTTGTCCGCAAAAACCCCTCGGCGGGGAACAAAGGACCCAGAACAATTGGAATTCTGGACCCAGAACAATTGGAATAATTCCAAGCAGAGCGCACCTGGCCAGTGTCATAGTCGTAAAGGTGCACCCACATGTCCTCTCCGCCTGCCACGAACTTGCGCTTAACTGCACAGTAGCTCGCGGACTCGGCTGGAGCAGATAATTTGTGTTGCTTCACTTGCTGCAGTGTGGCTGCTTCAAAGAAGCGCACGTGGGAACCTTCAGCTGTTGTAACGTGCTGCTGGTCAAAGGACACCTGCACAAGCAGCCGCAACAATAGTCACAAAGCCCAACTGCACATAACAACCATTGCGATTCAAACGCCGACGTACGGGGCGTTTGAATGACACACGAGGAACAGGAAACAAGCGCAACTGATGCGTGGAGACGCAACCACTGCTGTGCGCACCTCGATCGAGGTGACGGACGTCGTCGTCTCGACAGTCTGTGAAAGCTGCTGCGAGCGCAGGTCATATACCCTGCAACAGCAAGCACCACAAAGCCCAGTTACAATCTCAACAAGCGTGGACTGGTTTGACGCTAAAGCAGCAAAATACAGCTTCCCCCCGGGCATGCCTCGGGTGGGAAAGACCCCCTACGCACCCAATGCCTGGTTTATCGACGTAGCTGCAGATGACAAGGTTGTCATTCTGGATGAAGTTGACAGAGCGAATACCCGCTTGAGCCGCTGGCAGTTTAATAGGATCCGCATCCGGTTTCTCCAGATCGTAGACCCGCACAACTTTTTCCATTCCTATATGTAGGGGGAGTAGACTTATAACGGTTGTGCCCGAGAGATGGCGGGTTAGATCGCAATACGCGACCCACAGGGTCTTCAACTCCTTACCTCCTGTAACGAGTTTATTAGAACCGTGAAAGGAGAAGTTTACACAGCGAACGATGTGATTGTGTTGGAATTCGTGCAGCTGAGAGCCGCCGCACGCGTCCCAAACTCTTGCAGTGAAGTCGGCCGATCCCGTCGCACATTTTAATGCCGGCGTATCCAACACACATGCCCAAACCGCACCCTGTTCGTGAGCAGTAGGTTGGCTTAACCCACCAGCAGCCGCAGCATAGAACAATACTGAAGCTAGTTACCTCCATATTCCAAATGCTAAACACAAGGCAACAGGGTACCTACCTTGTGGCCCTCAAACGTCCCATACCAGTCACCGTTTTCGCCGTGACGCAGCATGGGCTTCCCATCCTTTGAAGCTGAGGCAAGAAAGTAACCCTCAGGGGTGTTTTGACTGTAATTAATCTCTACGATGGGTCTTGTGTGACCATGGCAAACAATTGGTACGCGCTTGGACATTGCAATTGATGTTCGAACGGCAAACTTCAGTCAATATGCAGTACTAATTCCTGACCCTGTAAAGTAGCCCTGTCAAACCCCAAATCCTAGGCCGTGGGCGGTCTGCTCTGACGTTCGCGGTGAAGATCGTGGATGTGCAGTCGCGCGTTATCTAGCAGTCCATAGCCTCCCCGGCGTTTCTCCCTTTCTATATATACGAGTATGCCCCCAAAACTTCTAGGAGAGCCCTTTGCGGATTAGAGCCAGTCATGCCCTGCAGCCCATCGTACAATCGTACCACAATTGCGCCCTGCAGACTATTACCAAGCAGCCACCAATGAGTGTTACTAGAACCTAAATATATATCTTTAAATTTACAATCTGCATGCCTCTGTACAGGACGTTAAGATGTAATTACATTTCCATACATTTTTAATGGACCTTACCAAAGAACACGGTGTGGCTGAAGTTCGTTCCCATGGAGCGATAAGCACCAATGCGGAATAGCGCCATGGGTTGACCTGTCTTCGGTTACCGTTGGTTGTTGCTTCTATAAGTGCTAAGCTGCAGACACCCGACAGATGGGATAACGTGGAAAACCCCACACCTCCCATGCCTCGAATGTCAACCCACGAGCATTTTTGGACAACGCACCAATGCAACATCTTAACATGCAAGTCGGAAGGGCAGTCAAGGGCAGTCTCGTTTCGGCAGGACCGTGCAAGGAAGGGATCAACGCTGCGTCGCCTAACATTGCGCACAATTAAGGGCTCTGATACGCCGAGGACCCACAACGGGAACTTTAGCATATTGCGACGATCGCTTTCCCTGCGAAAACCTGTTATCCAGGGTGTGAGAAAGGTGGTCCACAACAACCTGTTTACATGCTTCAATCGGCCAAACTCCACGATGGCCTAATGTCTCAAGCGAGGGCAGCTTTCCTGCGCATGAGTTGCTGTGCTCGTTGGCGTGGTTCGGCTGTGTTCCTAAGACAACTGAGCCGCGAGAAGGAAGTGGCGACGATGATACATGAGAAACCCTACCTAAGGAAGTGGTAGCTCGGCTGTGAGCATGTATGAGAGCTGAACCACAGTCCGGAATGGGGGCGGTGCGCGGGTCACCTGTGTCCTGTCTTTATCGAATGCGTGAAGCGGATTGTTTCCGCCAAACCGTTTTCTAAAGGTCGTCTTATGTTGGCATCTCGAGCGATGCACAGAGCAAAATGGGTACCGGCTTTCGGGGCAACGTGGGTCACAGCAAAACCTGCGCCGCGGAGCTGCGCAAGGTGAAGGAGCACCCCGGGGTTGGTCAAGGGTGGTGCCCAGCTGCATCATCCCTGCCTGCATCCGGGATGTCGACAGAAAGTACTAATGCGCTCAGGTGTTGTGCTATGGCATCGCGTCCCTTGTTTCCTGCAAGGGAAGCCCATTATCTTCCGTACTCAAAAGGATCTAGCCTTCATGTTGCGTAGGAAGGCCGACTGCCATGACGTGCGCACACACATACAACGATACACGCGAAGTCACGTGGACATGAGCGGACAAGTCACAGTGAAGCATCGTAAGGCCTCCAATAGGCCTCCAACAATAACGGAAAGAAAAATAATTAAGAGAAGCTACCCACTCTTAACAGCATAGGGTTTGGCATAGGTAGATTAAAGTACGTCAGTTTAAATGCTGCTTGCAGCGTTACGGAACCAGGACCGCATAAGCATAGGACGATAGCGAAGCCTTTCATATGTTTCGGATGAAATTCCATAGTGATGTTGGCTGGGTGCATGCATTGTTCGTAGGGTTGCTTGGCGACGCAAGCAGGCAATACGATCGTTCGTTCGCTCGGCCGTTCTGTACACATGTGCACCAGCGCATTTGCTATCGTGACGGTATAGTCACCACGTACACAATTCTTGTTAATTAACTACTCCGTCGCCTGGATGCATTTTTTGTCGGTTTGAAGCTTGGATTGAAGCGGTGCCAGCTTGGCTAGTATGCACAATGCTGGGGGATGCGATGTTACCTGTCCGTCCTTAACCATAAGCCTCGTTGACTAGCTTCATACCTAGGGGGTTACAAGCTGCAGACTGGCCCCCTCAGCGACCACTTCCCCCCCATCTTAAAGCCATCCCTCCCGTCTTGGCTATCTACAGCTTACTAAACGAAAGATTGATGATGAACGTCATCTATCGCCCGCCGGACGAGTAAGTCTACTCAAGGCTCGTTAAAATACAATGGGATGACTGGCACAGCAACCGTCAACTTTTCTGCTTTCCATTTGCAGGGGCGAGGTCTTTAATACTTTTCATGACATGGTCCATGCAGCAATTCTTTGCGCAAGGACAGGCACAGCCACCCTGAAGGAGGTGCGACATCGGGCTTCCGCCCCGAGTGATTGTGTGGCCATAACGAGAGCATGAAAGTTATTCTTATTAGCCAGCGGTCGCTTGCAGCCAACCTCGTCCGTTTCGCGTCAGCCCTGGTTCGCTGTGGGACGAAATCCATCCACTCCTTACTTGACCATTTCAACCGCAGATCTATGCGGCTTGTATCCGTTTCGGTCGTGTTAAATGCCGAAAGACCGGCGGCTGGCGGCTTGTCACCGATCGACGAAACTGGTATGTTGGGATGCTTCACTGCGAGGATAGGCGCAGCCGACTTTGACCAGCGTCTGCGGCGCATGCAGGAAGAGCCATGTACGTCATACACTTTACACCACTGAAAAGTTCCTCCGGTAAGTTCTTGTAGAGTTTCAAGTCCACGTGCACTGTGAACGACGTTCCAACTTGCAGGCTCCTCGCGCAGGTGTCCCCATGACTCAGATTCGTGGATGCTGGCACCGGAGTTTTGCTACACGCTACCGCAAACAACTCGACAATGCAGTGGCCCTGCGCCTTCCGAAGATGACGCCGACGCTGTTCCGCGCGACCGCTCAGCTAGAAGCCGTGGGAAAGCCGCGCAGCGGGCGCAAACCGCAAGCGCCTCCACGTTCCAGACACGGCTGCAAGGCGACAGGTGCGTCCGTTTGTGCGCAGTGCCTGGTTCAACGAATGGCACTATCAGCGCAGCCCAGCCCACCTCCTGCCCGGTATCGCCTTTGCAGGCGACCAGCTTGGAACGGTGCTCCTCCACGGCAGCGTTCTGCTTCCTGCCGTCCGCAACGCTTGTTGACGGCTAGTGCTGACAGTGTCAACGGCATTGACACGGACAGCAACGATGAGCAGCTGCAGGAGGAGCAAGGTGAAGGGGATCAGGAGAATTATGCGCAGGAGGAGTCGGAGAAGCAGCCGCAACAGTGGCGGCCATACCGATGGGAATTCGTAACTGAAGTGGACGCCTCCCGTGACGCGGCCCGGACTGCCGCTGCAAAGTCGTACGGGATTGGCAGCCGGAATGGCCGGGCGCTCGCACTTCTTGGGGTGACAGCAGCAGCTGCTGCAGCGGCGGCGTCAGGAGATGACGAGTTGGACCTTACAGACGAGAACACGCGCACGGCACTTCATGCAGCGCAGGCAGGCATACGGTGCACCAGGGTTGTGTTTTTGTGAGCTTGGGCTGGGTGGGGAACCGTGTCTCTGAGCTTCGTCGCCTGCGTGCAGTGTACTGGATACAAAGCGTGTAATACGCCGTGGAGGCTTACACGTGTCATTGCGCCAGAAGGATAATAGTAATACGCCACAGCATTAACTGATGCGTATGTTCAAGGCTAGGGAATCGAAAGGTTGTGGTTTTCCCCTGGCATTTGCACCTCCCGTCTGGTCTTTCTGTTCCGATTTATTGCCTTGTTACTGATTACTTCACCGCTGCAATGTACATAGCCCGTACCGTGGGAAGGCCTGCAAGCTCTTGAAGCTGAAATGCTCGAACTTTCAATTTTACACAGGAAGTGCTTAACAACCCCGCGGCGACCAAGATTTTGCTACGCTTAATGAAACAGCGGCAAGAACATCAGAGACAGCAACAACAACTGCAGAACTGGCTGCTGCAGCAACAGCAGCAGCACGCACAGCCGAATGGTCCGCGGGACCGGGGGCCCGTGTACCAGTCGCGGCATCGACACCACACGGAGCTAGATTCGGATGAGGATGAGGATGACGAAGAGGGTGAACTTACAGCCGACCGTGTTCTTGAAGAGGACGACGAACCGGGGTGTAAGGCGGGGAGAGCTGACGAGGCTTCACCGGAGCGACCCTGGCGGGGAGAGGCGGCCAGTGCGTCGGATCTGGGGAACCTCACGGCTGATGAGGTGAGCATGTTGTCTAGGCCGTCAGGTGTACCTCTACAGGCTGAGGTGCATGTCGTAGTGCTAGCAACGGAGTTGCCGTAGCTGTTATACTCGGGCTTCCTTGCAGTGTGAGGTGTTGGGGTTCGACGACCTGAGTTTGTCTCCTACGATACTTTGGCCCTGATGGTAAGCTATACACGCCGTAACGTTAACATATATCTTATCCCCTTTGTGGCTACTCTGTCTCCGCGTGTTCCGCCAGAAAGCGGTACAGCAGCAAACGCATGGCTCTGAACACGTACAGCCGGCATCGTGGGCGGGGCGTCAGCTGACCTCCATTAGCAGCGGCCTGTGCAATGGCAGCGGCCGAGGCGAGAATAGCCACAGAGGCCCGGTGGCGGGCGGCGGGGGTTGCCATGATGGCGCTTCTGCCGCCATTGGGGCCCGGAAGGTGGGCTTTGCTGGGCGGTTTAAGGCCTATGGTGATGGTGCGCGTGGTCCTATGGAGCGTCGGTTGCCTGTTCCCAAGGTTACACCAGACGCGGTTGTGGCCTGGCAGGAGCATGATGAGAAGGCCGACGCTGGAGGGTTGAGCGGCCATTCTGGCGATGACGATGAGGGCTGGGACGCGGAGGAGGGCGTGGGGCCCAGCCGGCGCCGCAGTGAGGTAGCTGCACATCCAGCAAGGGGTTGGGGAAGCGAAGCGATCACTGTGGCAGCGCCGGTAGAAGCAGCACTTGGCAGGCGCGGGGAGTCAGCTCCCCGTCGGCCGGGTCGTTTCTTGACGCGGGCAGAGCAGTTACCATACACCCAGTCCTCTGCGCATCTCAACGCAGCTGCTGCGGCGGCGGTAGCCGCGGCAGCTGCAACTGCAGCAGGTGAGGCACCCTTTCGGCTGGGGGCCCACCCTGCCGGAGGGGTGGGGACTAAGCGCACGTGGATGGAGTCCAGCGTTGGGAACGGCGGTGGCAGTGGTCTTGGAGCCGACGGCACCGGCGAGGCCGAGGAGTCGCACCTGCAGCAACAACTGCTGCAGTGGGAGGCTGCCATGAACGCAACTCGCCCGACACCTCTGGTGCTACGGCACTTGGCAGAAGAGCTGCAGGTTTACCATAGCCGCTCCGTGGCCGTCGCTGCGGTGGCGGCAGTGGCGTCGACCGCTGATATGCAGAAGCCGAGAGGCTACCCGGGGCGCATGGTGTGCTGAGTGGCGACTGTGGGTCACGGCAGATGCTGACCATGCGGTCTGCAGGTCGCGGTGGCCGAGCGAGATGTGTCCGAGTCCCGCTATAAACATTGGGCGAGGGCGTCAACGCCAAAGAGGCTACCCGTTTAGTGTAAAATTGACCTCTCGCCAAACGGGGGATTACACCAATGAACGATTGTTGTGGCTTAAGGAAGGGGGAAGCCCTGTAAGATGCAATAAGGTTATAATCGGGACGTCATAGACGGTTCCTAAGAAATCGGGAGTTCAGCATGGTAGATCCATTTATCGATCGAGATAATCGGACGTGTAGCTAGAAAGTATAGGGCAAGCGCACGCGCCCGGGGTGGCGCTTGGGGTTTCGGGACATCAGAGTTAAGTGGTGTTGAATTTAATGAGGGAATTCATGAGATGCAAGGAGTGTATTAATTGGTTTGTAGGAAGAGCACTTGCGAAACCCGCCCTTACTGGCCTCACACCATCATCTTTCCCAGTTGGGCCGCCATAATCCAAGCGCGCAGGCGCATCCTTGGAGTTCACAAGTTTAGAGGGAGTGATTATTATGTGTATACTGTGATAGGGTGGACCAACCTCGCAAATTACCTGAACTTTGGCTTCAATGATGGACGTGTAGGGAGCTTCCTTTACCCAGTCGGCCCGGTTTCAAACGCAAAGCATCCGCCATGAGGTATCCGGCATTGGTGCCATTCGTGTGCACCCGGGGAGTGTGCTGTTAACCTAGGGTCGCCAAGTCTGAGCCCTGGTTGACTGAACATGAGCATATGGACACCGTCTCTGCACACGTGCTCGCATGCATTTGATTTGGATTGGCGAGCATCCGCAGCAGCAGCGCGTGTCCTTTAACATTCCTTTTTTGCAAGCTTGGCTATTTGTCGTTGCCTTTGGACTGTCCGTCTTTGGTACGTGCGTTGATCTCCCTGCGTTCGTCTGTAATGGCGAGGCGGGTCGAGTCGGACCCAGATATTTTCGGTCGGTGTGCCTAACCGTTTGGTACGGAGAAAGTCGGATTATACAGCCACGGCTGCATAACACGCGTGCGCTTTCCTACCAGTACTAAGGTATAGCGGCATTTCGTCACATTACCCATGGACACCCGCTGTTCCTCTAGGGAGGGCGCTGTAGGACACCGTATGTGCATTTTTAAATCCAGTGCTCTGGATTCCGCGCAGCGTTTGGCCACTGCTAGGTATCTGGGGGTAGGAACTCCCTATCGAGTCGGCTAAAGACGACGCGGTGGCGCGCGATACGAGGATAAGGACCGCAGATGAACTATATCGTTAAATGTATCCTGTGCTTGCCTGTGTGCTGAATGTTTGTGGGTATGATGGGTTTTCAATGTGTTGTGCCTTTTCATAACGTCCTTGGAGCTATGTACTACCCAGAGGATGCAGATGTGAGAAGGGGGAAGCTATGTCACGCCGCACCTTCCGTCTGTCTGTGCAAGCTCTTTTTGCATGCGCGACTAACTTTGTTTAATATAACAATAATTCTCATCTTCCATCTCGTATTCTCATAACGGTTTTGCTTAGGCAAAAGTTACCGTACTTGCTTACAACCTTGGGCTGCCGGGCCCGGCTAATGTGTTAGACCGTGAATGCTATCACCCCCAACCCAGCAACTCCAAGTGTAAATCCCCAGACCTGCTCAATGCCTGTACACATGTAGCGCTAACCTATCCTGGTAGCAGCCGCAGATCCCCAAAGAATGAGATGCTCCTTCGACTTTCACCCTGCCTGCTGGATGCGAGTCGCCCTCTTTTAAGCACGCCACATAATGCTGTCTTCGCAAAATCCTCAAATCTCAACGTCCGTCTTCTCTAGCCCATGCAAAGCCTCCAACAGCCAACCGCAGCCGCCCCCTTTGCCGGTCCCTGATCTCTCTTCCCCAACTTCTAACGGTTCGTATTCCTCACACAGTCTATGCAAAGAGGCCCAAAGCACATTTGCCATGGGGCAGGGAAGCGTATGCAGCGCACGCCGCACGGTGGACAATAGCTGCCTGGCCGTTGACGCAGCTGTGGCGGTGTTCGTGCTACCGACTGACTGCTGCTGTCCATCCTGTTGTCGATCCCCCACGGATGCCAGAGCAGACACAAAGCATTGCAGCACGGACAGAAGGACAGCCTGCCAACGCAACGAATGAGTTGGTTAGAGGCTGGCACTGTCAAGGTTAATTTAGAAGTTGGGAAAGGCAGACACCAAGAACGCATGTCCCACGGTCCTGGCCTGGCTGCCTGTGGAAAACGGCGAGCAAAAGTCCCACAAAAAAGGCGCCCCCTAGATGACACAGGCAGCTATCCTGCGCTGGGCGGCGCCACGTATTCGGCGTACCAAACTTCAGTAAACCAGACATGGGTTCCATTCCATTATATTATCTCATCTATCCTACCCCCGGAACTGTTAGCAGCAGATGCAGGTGCAATCCCCGGCGCAGCCGGCACAGCCTCTCACCTGCCATGTCACCAAGGCACGATCGTCCGCCAGCTCCGCAACCACTGCAACAATTCCGCAAAGCTCCGACAGCAGCACCACCGCAACGACCGCTATCTCAAGGCTTGTTGTGCCATGCTTCGGCGGCTGAGCAGCTGACGCCCCTGATGCAGGGGCAGTTGGCAACTGTGGCGGCCGTGGGAGCAACACCGTCGCGCCATCCGCTGATACGGCGGCAGCTGTTGAAGCCAGGCGGGAGGCTAGCAAGGCAATGTACGCCGCGCATCGATCGGCTGTGGCAAGTAGCAGTCGGGATGGCGGCGACGGCAACGGAGGCTCCGCGGCGGCCGGCTGCTGTGCCGCCTCCTCCGCCTGGAGGCAGCCGCCTGCACCCTTTGGTGAGGCCGACGCATCCGCAATCGGCATGCTGCATAAGGCAGCTACAGCCCCGCGGCACGCCATCACTATAGATATCGCTACATCTGCTGCAGGGGAACCGCTGCCATGCCCGGCCGGAGCCCCTAGCAACCATGTCTCAATCACCTCGAGGGAAGCGGCCTGGGCGCCGTCCTGTGTAATTCCTGATGTCCCCAGGGCCGTGGTGGCGCCACCGCCTCTGCAGTGTTTACTGCTTGTATACGGCACTGCGGCATGAAGCACCGCGGCACCACCAACTGCCCGTACAAGGACGGGCAGCAGCCCCAATAGCAGCCGTCGTGCCTGCTCCGGCGCAGCTGTCGGCAACAGCGCGCCCAGGGCCGCGATACCACCCTCCAGGAATCGCGCCGCCGGCAGCTGCGGCAAGCCGCGCGCAGCAGTCGCCGCCACATGCCGGCCAACGACGCCTTCTGCATCCCTCCCGTGCTGACTCATTTTCGCCGTCGCCGCCGCCGCCGCTCTCGTCGTCCCGTCATCGTACGATGGCGCCTCGAACCAGCCAAACCAATAAGCAGCACTGCTTTTGCCATTATCGCCCGTAGCCTTAGCGCCCTCGTCCTCGACTTCTTCCGCGTCGTCATCGACGGCGGCAATGTGAAGAAGCGCTTGTTGCACGGCAACGGCGTTGGAGTTGCTGCTGGCAACAAAGCACAATACGTCGTATATGGCGGCTCGGGCGAAATCCGTGCTCGCGGATCGCAGGCTGCGCGGTCGCCAGGTGGCGGCGGGCATCAAGGTTGCCGCCAGGGCTCGAACCCGACATCCGGCCCCGTCACCGTCGCCGTCGTCACTCTTTCCGCCTTCATCAACTGCAGAGCTGGAGGAGGCTGCTGCTGCCGCAGCTGACAGCTCAATGAGTGGAAGCATGACGGATGCAAGGCGCCTGGGGGCAAAACAGCCAGGACGGCACATGCGGCCCGCCCCGAAGAGCGTGGTCCACAGCATCCACTTAGTTCACTTCATGTATAGGGGCAGGGAAAACTAACTTCTAACCAATGGGAACCACGGATGGGAACCACGGAATGGGAAACATGGAACTCTAAGGGGGCCAAGGACGCTGCAAAAACCCTATCCACGCCTGTGCAAAGTTCCAACCCATTGCTTTAATTAGGCTGCTGCTGACCCGACTGAAACCCTCTCCGCCCCGTATCCATTCATAAGCGGGACACTATGAAACAATCCCTCCCTGCTACTCATGATCGTGAGCTGTGCGAACGTGCGCAGGGGAATGCTGTTTTGAGATGCTTAGGTTAGGTAGAGAAGAACGGGAGAACGGAGGGAGATGGCCTTGTCTTCCTGGCCTCGCCACGCTAAAGGAGGTCGAGGAACGTGCACCTGTGCGCATGGAGAACCTCGCATCACATGTGCAATTCCAGCCACGCAAGGTCCTGGCAGCTGATGGCGCCCGCAAAACCCCATACAGGGCTGTAGCCTTTGCATGTGGGGCCCTGTGGGGCCGCGACGACACACGTGTCTTGGGAGATGGGCGAAGACAAACACACTCACCTCGGCAGACTGGCGCACCCCGCCGCCAACTCCCGCAGCTCGCAAGCATCACCAGTTCCCAGGTCAGCAAGCACACGCCCGGCGACGCCGCTGCCATCACCACGGCTAGCGCCGGCACAGAGATAATCCCCGTACAGCTGTACGGCGCGCTCCAGGACCGCGGCTGCGGCGTCGATAGCTACTGCCTCAAGCTGGTGTCTCTCCGCATAAGCATCGTACAGCTCCTGCAGCGCGTCCGCCACTGCCAGCAGCAGCCGTGCGGGGCGCGCCGCCGCGAGCTCCACTGCCGGGTTGTAGAAGCTGCCAGCACGCGGCACGTCGCTGACGCCGCCACCAGTGCCAACAACGCCGAGGACAAACTGGGCCACCAGCATGGCGCAATGGATCTGCGCAATGGAACGGCTCCGACCGTCCCCGTTCTCCCCACGCGGCGCTAGCCCTCGTCCTACAAGATCTTGCAGCAGCTGCCGCGGCAACACCAGCCCCGTTTCCATGAGACCTCCTAACAGCGTCACAAGCGAACGCCGATCCGCAGAGGTCCTCATCCAGCGCTGCGCATCCAGAAGCACAACCTCCTGCAGGCACGACATCAGGACTGGCGCCGCCGTGACGGTGCCGTCGGCGATGGCTGAGCCCGCTGCTGCTGCTGCTGCCACTGAGAAGCACCGCAGCAGCTGGAGCACCCACGGCTGCTGGCCCGGGTGAGTCAGCCCATCCATGACAAGCCGTCGTACACACACCTCCGGAACTAGTACGGCATACGGCAGCAGGTTAGTGGCGGCGGTCGCCAGCCGCTGGGCTTCCTGCTGGGCGCTGAGCGCGCGGCGCTCTAGGGAGCTCTCCATCGCGGCGGCGCGGTTGCTCAGCGCCACCAACGCTCGGCCTGCAGCGGCCTGCAGCGCGGCATCAGCCGCTAGGCGCACGCGAAGACTATCGCGCCGCCGCACGAAGTTGTATAATACGCAAGCAGGGACAGGAAGGGTGCGTGTGTTCGATTTAGGTGTAAACGCAAAGTATAGGGTTGTGACGTAGTGGGAGAAAGCTTCATCTTTACCTTCTTCAGGTCATTCTTAATACAGGACAGGACTGGACAAGATGAGAGCGATTTGCTGAGAAACGGCCTAAGGGCCCATGGGCCATGTAACAGCGGCACACTGTCGTCGCCCACCTGCACCCACACCTGCACCAGTCAGGAACAGATTACCGCTATACATACATATATACATACATACATACATACATACATACATACATACATACATACATGCATACATACGCACAGAACACAGCTCCTACACCACGCACACGCCACGCCATGCCAGCCGGTATGTTGCCAGCACCTCTCCAACCCACACGCACGCACACGCTACCGTGTACACAGCACGCCACCTCACCTGCGAAACATCGGGCTGCCCAGCACCACTGCCTGCAACGCTGCCTGCTGCCCAGGGCCGCCGACACACGCCAGGCACTCCGCCGCCATCCGCATCAACCGCAGCTCCAGCTGCCGCTGCTGGCCCCCCTCTTCCGGGACGGCTACGAAACCAGACCTTCCCCAACCCGGCAGCAAATCCTGTTCCACACCCGCTGCAGCTTCCATATCCCTATCCGAAGCTGCTGCCGCAGTGGAAGCCCGGGCTCCAGCATCTTCTGGGCCAGATCTCATACCCAGATCCTTCCAGTAACCGGAGCCGAGCCTTCCCTGGAGGAGCTCCAGCAGCGCCAGCGCTACACGGAAAGGACTGTACGGGTTCGGATCCCCTGCGGAAACGACCCGCGGGTCGTGATGGGCGTACAGCCACGACCCCACGCCGGGGGTTAGCAGTGCCACAGCAATCGCAGCCACACGCCCCGTTGCCATGGCTGCTTCTGCGTTTCTTTCTGGAAACCCCTTGGCTGTGTCCGGAGGCTGCAAACGCAACGATGGCGGAGGCGAAGATGCCAGCCGAAAGCAGATGGCAGCCGCAGCGGCGTTGGCCAGAAGCTGGGATCCACCTGTGCTGCCGGCGCAGCGGAGGCGCGTTGGAGCTGCGGTGGAGGCCGTGGCGGCCTTCAACCACTCTGGCAGCTGCCGCTTATGGCCAGCCGATGGCCATGGCGACGCCTTCTCCGAACCTACCGCCAGATGCTGAGGAAGCGGCGAACGCACCCCACCAAAGCGTCCTCCCACCGCATCTTCCGTGTTGGCCGATCCGCCGAACTCGTCAGTTAGCCCAGCAGCCGTAAATCCGTACGGCAAATCCAAGCCTAGCCAAACATCGCCAGCAGTGAGCGCTGCGGCCTTCCGAATCACCGGATCCGAGCGCCGGTCCGGCGTCGTGTGGTCAGCTGCGGCGGTATCCACCACCCCATCAGCCTCGTCATCAACAACATTGCCAACAACGGCAATGGAGGCCTGGTCCTTGCAGCCAGGCTGCGGCGGCTGCGGTGCTGCTGCAGCTGCCGCTGCCCCTGCGGCCGCCTGCATGCTTATCAGAGTGATGCGTGTCCGCAGACGAATTACAGCACCACACGACAGCAAACGCCGTTGCCCCTCAGAACCGGTGGGCCCCCTGCCACCTCCAGCGGCACCCGGTTTCATGTCCAACAAATCCTTTAACTCGTCTTGCAGGAGCCATAGCAGCCTTGTCGCCGTCGACGCCGTCGACTCGATTCGTGCTACTGTTGCATCCACAGCATCCGTCCTCCGCAGGACGGCCTCCTGCCAAGCGCACAGCCCCTCCTGTAGCGCCTCACAGCACGTCTCAGCCCACGACGCATCAGCCCCGCCGCACTCCCCCTCCGGCGCCGTTGCCACCATCGCCGCCGCCCCAATACCCCCAGCCTCAGCCGCGACATGCCGATGCAGCGCGTCTACAAGGACGCGCCCAAGCAGCAGCAGGCAGGGCAGCCAGCGGCGGCCATCACCCTTGCCTGCGCCACCACACGCCGTCGTCGCCGCCTGCCGTACAGCCTTGGCAATGCGGAAGACGAAGCCCGGACTGTAAACCAGACGATTCGCCCAGGTCGAGGAGCAAAAGACCGAACCCCCCGCAGGTTCCTGCTGCGCGGCCATCATGCAGATAGCACGGCCAGCAGCATCTGGCGAGCTTCCGTTGCCGGAACGGACGCTGTCAAGAAGCGTGGCCACCAGCCCGGGCGCTAAGGCTGGACAGAGGCCCACGACCCGTGCCAGGGCAGCTGTAGCGACCCCCGAGTCCGGGAGCCAGCCCAGCAGCTCAATCAGCTGCATCTCCCAGCCCATCGCCACCACAATTGAGGCGTAAACACCTGCCGGCAGCGTAAGCCGCGCAGCAGAGGCAAGCTCGTCCCGCCAGAGAAACCCCCAACGGCTCATACCGCCGGCGCCGGCTGCAGCGGCGCATGCCGTGGACTCTCCCTCCACACCCGGCACCCCCACGATGTCCTCCGTACCGAGCAGGTCCGAAGACAGCGCAAGGTAGCTGTGCAGCAGCGCAACGGTGTACGACGATAGATCCCAGTCACCACTGCTGTCGCCGCCGTCACTGCGGCCGCCGCTCGCAGCCGACGTCACCGCCGCCAGCACACCTTGAAGAATTCCCACTACCTTATCAACCGCCAATAACTCCCTGCATCGCCCTCTCGGGTCCCGCTCCCCCGCCTGAACCCCCCCGGATGGCCTTTCGCTGACCTCCATTTTACTGTCTCGTACTTCACCATCCCCAGCAGTCCTCGCATCAGTTGCAACAACCGTTTCCGAGGTAGTGTACATCCCGCTGTCGGCCCTGCCGCCGCGGCCGTCATCGCCAAGGACGTCGTCGTTGCGCGGGCGAAGCAGGCTGCTGCTGTCGGCGGCAGCAGCAGCAGCACCACTACCACCACTACCACCGCCGGCGGGCATCCCGTGCAGCGTGTGTTCGACGCACGCCAGAGCCTGCTGCGCCCCACGCAGCACCACCAGAGGCAGCGCATCGCCGCCGGGCAGCTCCTGCAGCGCTGCTGCCAGGGCGGCAAGCTGCTGCTGCTGCCGCCACAAGTCGCCTGCTGCCGCTGTCGCAGACGGGGCCGCAGCCGCGCGGCGCCGTGCCATTCCTCCCGCACCCCCCAACCGCACCTCTGGCCTTAGCCTTAACCTTAAGAACCCTAAGGCAAAGGGTTGGAGTTGAGACTTTCACACCCTTCGGCCGCAAAAACTCGCCAAACTAGGTACCTTCGGGGCCAAAACTCGCCAATCCGCAACCGCGGGTTGTCCGCAGTACAGAGATCCCGGATTAAAGCAGCACTGAGTCCAACCGCAGCTGGGTGCTGCCTACACACTGTATTTACCCCTACTCCTACTTGCTCCAATCGTCAGTGGTTCCCGTCGTAACCCTCCTCCTCCTCCTCCTCCTCCTCAGTCCGCTTTCTCAGTGGCTGCCTTGCCAGCAGCAGGGCCAACAGCACGGCCTCTTCCACCGCCAACCCCCGCTTCACCTGCCGCGGCTGCACCCCCGCAGCGAGGGGATCTCAGCTGCCGCAGTACCTTGCTCGGTAGCACGTAACACAACACCACAGCCAGGAGCACCAACAGGACAAAGTCAACGGCACTCAGCGGCAATACCCGCAGGCCGCTCACCACCGCCGCGTCGCCGCTGTCGCCTTCGCCTTCTCCCCCGTTGCCGCTTCTGGCACTGCGATCACCAACACCACCAGCGTCGCCCACCGTACCAGACACAGCCAGTAACACGGCCAGTAACATGCGCCCCCGTCCTCCGTTTACCAGCTGCCTGCTAAAACCCTGCCTGCACCTTCCTGATCAGACCAGACGCAAAGCCACGACGGCAAACGGACCCGACGCGATGTCGCCGGTGTGGCTGGCTGGTCGCTGGTGCTGCTACCGGATATATGGCTCTCGCAGTTCCAGAGGAGAGATGGAAGCGTTGTCGCGCATGCACCCTTCCTCTTTGCGCTCTTTGCTTTTTACAGCTCCACCTTGGCCTCTGTGATGGTGTCCTCCTGAAAAGCTTCCTGTAGCTGCTGGGCCCCCTGCTGCTGCTGCTGTTGCTGCTGCTGTTGCTGGGGCGTTGATGCGGCCTCTTTAGCCTGCTGTTGCTCTTGCCGCTGCTGGCACTGATCCGCCTGCTGCTGCTGCTGCAGTGCAGCGATACGTGCCTGCACAACAGTGACACATGAAGAGCCGCGATGACCGAAGCCCCAGCCAATCGAGCCGACACTTGACAGAGCAGCTATCCTTCCCCCTACATGGCTGCATGGCTCTAGCAGCAACCGACTGTCCATGAAGGGGACCCCAGCCAACCGGTGAAGCAACAACAACAACAACAGCAACTCAGCCCCAAGCAATTCGCCAAACAATGGCCTTGAGCTCGGGACAGCAGGCCGCATCGAGCATCCGAAGCCTGCCCTTCTGGCCCCACGTCGCATTGTAGGATGCCTTGCCGTTGCCGTCTACCTGATTGCGTTGGCCGATGCGTCGCAGCGCGACCTGACGCTCGTGCTCGGACAAGGTCGCCCAGTTGGCAATTCGTCTCAGGGTGCCGTCCTCCGCGACTGAGGTCATATACATGCACGCATACAGACATGCGACAGGACGTACCGTCAGTCAGCGACCACACATGTGCAGAGACTACGCGCGCGGCGATAAAGGGGACCATATGCAAGCCGATTAAGACATGCGCGGCCCAGGCATCTGGGACTCCGTGGCGCAGCCCTGTGAGGGAGACGTAAACGACCCGGGCAAAAAGCAACTCGCCAAGATTGCCATGGGATGGGTAGTTAAATCTGTGTTGATGTCGCACCATGAGAAGTTCATCCGTACGAAAGGGAACTGCAGTAAAAGTCCGGTCGTTCTCCCAGTAATGTTTGGATTGCGCACAGTTCTGAGGGGGCTCGTAATTCTTAGGTTGAGGATGTGGTGGGGCCCATGGATTTGGGTCAGGTCGCATCAGCGATAAATCACCGAACCGCTGTGGCGCCGCACCCACGCACCGATCGCAGGTCCAAGGGCGTCGAGCGCAACCTTGCCGCCGCCTGGGCGATGAGTCAGGTTGAAGAAGGCAAGCCAAACGTATTTGTGCCGAATTTGCATGAAACGGTTGTCAGGAGGAGGAACGAAGAGGGCGGGGGAAAAGGTGCGCGTGAGTCCCATGAAATTGGTACAACACGAGAAGGCATGGGAACAAGGGGATATAGCAGTCAAGTATACGGACGGGGAAGCTGAACGGGGAGGGCTCCTGCACCAGACTACAAAGCAGATTTGTGCAGTGAAACGGTCAGCCTTTCAAGTACAAACCAAGCCAAGTTTCCTGGCTTGCTCACCTACGGTGAGCGTCGGTACCGAAGCGCCGCCTTCGCCGTCGGCAGGTGGGGCCGGTAGTGCCAACACCTGATCCGAAGATCCCTCTGCAGTAATAATTGTAGTTGGAGGGGCAGGCTGTGCTTTCTGCATGACGGACGGAACCAGGGACATGGCGGGATCTGTGAACGTGCTATGCGTGGCGTGCGCGCATTTTCGGCCGTTTGAGATAAGCAATTCACGATCCAAAGCTCCGTTTCTACCTTGTCAGTTTCCTGAGTACTACACGCCAGCATGAGCGAAAGCAGCAGAGCCAAAAAAGGCAAATGTACGCTTGGGAGATAATACCACGGCATAAGGATAACAAACTTTTGTTACTGCAAAACGCGACGCAAATACTAAGCTCAAAAGGCCTCGAGAGGAAGACCGTTACGCTCGCAAGACCAGTCTCGCGACACTCCGTACACCACCCGTTATGCAACCCGGACTGAAAAAAAGCACCCAGCCATCCAAAACTTTGTTTATATCATGGCAAATAGTTTGAAGGATTCCCCCCTCACTACTCTATGCTCATCGTTGCACATAAGTACTTAGGTTAGCTGCTGGAGCGTTGCTTGGCTAAGGTTATTCCGTCGATTTGGGACTGGTAAATACCTTTGCAAGGTTATTGCATCCTCCTCCTGCGGTGTCTAAGCTAGGCGAAATGGCCTGGGTCGCGCCTGGCATTTGACGTGTAGGTTACCGATAGTGCCAATGCATAGTCGTGAAAAAGGAAACCGTGGTGACCGTCCCGGCAGATTGATAATGACAGAGAAGTTCCGCGGTGGATAGGCACTAATGGAATACCTGCGACGCACGAAGAGATCGCCAACAGGGGGTTTGAAAGCCCAAGCGCTGCGTCATAACGCCGACAGTCTGGACAGTCCCGCTAGCTACTGTGGGATCTCTTAACGCTATGCAGACATGCACGCATTCCGGTTTCGTTTCCCTGTCCCATCTTGGCCATCCAAGATCTGCCGCTGGTACGGCAGCCTATGCCGCAGCGGCGAGATTTGCCACGTGCCTGCAAAATCGCAGAGACCAGCCAACACACATGCCCCATGAGTCAAACCCATTGCAAATATGGCATGTCCGTTTGAACATTAATAGTACAGAAAGCACGACAGATGCGCATGCATGGGCCTCACAGACCACGGATGCAGCTTTCCCCGGCATAAGCGTGTAGATACGAAGCACCTGCAGACTCTCGTTTCAGCGGTCCCACGCGTCACGCAAGAAATAACGTGCCCGGGATCAACAAGCGTGCCGAGGCCGCAATTAACGCACGCCAAAGGTCTGCATTTCAGCTGAAGCAATTTCCGTCCTTAACAAATTACGTCCCGCAATCACAGCCAGGGCCACGGCCAGCGAAGGAGATACCTCAACATTCTAGAAATAGTGGCTTCCTTTATTCTTTTTTGAAGGGGAAGACATGGAAGCCATTTCCCCGTGTGCACTGTAAGAGCCGCTGTACTCTGGAAACTCTCTGTGGTGGTCCCTAACAAGTATCGTGTGGCAGAGGACTGAACGTACGTCTGTGGGGAGCCCACACTCCGGTCAATCTGGGTGTGGGCCGATGTTGGTTGCCAATGTCTGCTTGAGAAAAATGAGGGTCTGCTTGGCGCGAAGTACGTGACAATGCTGTAAGCCGCCGCCTCGAGAAGCCCTCCGGAAGGACAGGATTGGACCGGGGCACGTCTTGCAAGCGCACGACATCTTTCTCGATAACCCAGATCAAGAGTCACTGATCGTTTTTGTTGGTAGGGTCATCTATCGCAATTCGGTTGGTTGTGTAGGTCAGCTATCGCTGTTCCCAAAAGGGGGCGCCGTCCTGCCTTCACAGGTCTAGGATAATCAAGGGAGGTAATACCCATGGGCCTCCGCAATTAAGACTGATGTTTCGTATGAACTTTCTCGGCTTCCTGTAGGCAGGAAAGGTGGAATTGACCAATTTCCGGGACTCGGGACCCGCGAAGAACCTGATCGGTAGCCCTTACTTTCCACGACGCCAGGTTGTTATATCATCGCGCGCGCTCCCCGTTGCTGAAATCATCGATAAAGCTAATAAAACTGAATCACCTAGCCCGTATTTTAGATGGAGAGTTTTTGCCTGATACTGTTTAGTTGGTTGCTGGCGAATGTACATCACATGCCGAAAACCGCGAAGCTTTGTGGGAGCAATGGAGTCCTGACAGGCCGGAGATTTCATTATGGATTAAGAATTCAGGATTGCAAGCGCATCAACACGAGCACATGGTTTCGGAAATAGCTGCTGTTGCCATACCGCAACCAACACAACGCACTGCTGAGTGTGACCACAGTAGTGCATGCGCTGACCTCCCCCATAGGAAGTTGCGATGCAGGTTTTGTTAATGTTATAAGGTTTACCCGTGGTCGTGTGCGGAGTGTTTGCATAGGGCCCGGCTGCTCGGTGGGAGGCCACAAGAGGGCCACCCTCAGCGCTGATGTACATGAACGAACCGAACAGACCGATGTATGCATCTCCCAAGCAACTCATATCACACAACAGTCTCATATGTACATATAACCAATAACTCAGGAATTGTGCGCGTCTCTTCTGTTAACAACGATTAAACAACCCGCCAAGATAAAAGTACAGGTGTGACTTGATGACTGTGCCTTGACCGGTCTCCCACCTGATATGCAACCTGCATCGATGATGGGCGTGTGATTGCACTTGCAAATGGCTAGTCTTCAAGCTGCGTTCTTCATTTACCTGGCGACGTGCTGAGCCATTCCGATGACCTTTGGCTGCTTTGCCACTGCACCTTGCAGCTATACTAAAGGAGCTTTTTATGAAATACACTCGTGAAAGTTAAAGTGCTCCGACATTTCACGGTGAGCTTTTGGTCCGATGTCTTGATGTTCGATGACTGGAAGGTGGTCGCGGTTCTTTGCATACATGGGCATGTGCTCCCAGTTTGCTTCGAACGAGCTGATATTTTTGCATGTCGAACATTTGCATTACGGTGCCATTTCCAGCAGCTCGTCTCACGTAAGACTGTTAAGTTTTAGCTTGCGCGTTTTCATGCCTCAAAAGCACGGCGAGTTGTAGATGGAAAATACTTCTCGGATAACAAATTTCATTCTTACGTATGCTCAGGTAATATCTTGCACGAATTGGAGGAATTTTGAGATGTGTGCCGGACGGGCCGGCATACTGGCGCTCGTGCTGCTAATAGCAGCATCGCCATCAGCTGAGGCCTCTATTAGGACGATAAAAGCTGCTTTGAAGCCTAAGAGTTCAACACAAGAAGCAACGGCAACTATCACCTCGAGTCCCGTCTTCAAAACAGGCACTAATGGGTGCCCTATCAATTCGTATGACTACTGCAACTATACTAGCGGCGGAAAGACAACAAGATGTCCCAGTTGCGCCGCTTGCAAGGTGCGTTAGGGATATGGGTGCTTAGATTAACTTCCGGCAGCCTATTGCCTACCAGCGCTAACCTCTGCTTGCGCGCCGCTTTGCGACCCTTTTCCTCCCGCGAACAGACCATTGATGGCTTTGGCGAAAACGTGCAAGTAAGTCTACTTTGCATGGGCGTGAGATTGAGCTCATGCTTTCTTTATTTCTCCCAGAGGACGTTCGTTTTCGCACGCATTGCATTGCTTGACGTTTTCGGCCACATCCCCAACAAACACATGTCCCCTTCCTGCCTTAGAAGTGCATGCCACAAAAGTTGTTTCTTTTAAGCGCCGACATGATAACACCCCTCTTACTTGACATCCTTATCGCAGGCCTGCCGGCTGCCTTACAAGCTGAACGGCATCGTGCTGGACAGCGACATCTGCCCCAACAGCATTTTGTCAACGCCCGTCTACGCGAATAGCGACTCGTCTTCGGAACGCGCCATCGGCACCCTCATTACGTACCGCACCGCCGCTGGATGGCTGGTTTCTACTGTACGACTGGATTGCCCCTGGTTGATGTGGTTTTCGTACAACGGCAAGATGCCCTCAACGTCTGTGGCTCCGGTGCAAACGGTCCTAAGCAGCAGCAGCGCCATGACCCGCAGGCGGCGCCTTACGGCCAACACTGACACCACCACCACGATTTGCCCTTCACTTACGACTGACGGTAGTATCTTGTACGGCAACGGCAACGGGCAATACCAGAACGGCCGGCCGGACACACGCAGCACGCTGAGCTTGACTTACACGGGCTCCAAGGGCACCGTTGTGGAGCAGATTCCGATGTACAGATATCAGGTACGGCGACGCTGAGTGCGTACGGCATTAACGTTCATGGGAACTTGCACATGGTTAGGGTTGGGCATGACATTAGAATTTTTCCGTTCTAATCTAATTTCTAATTAGATTCTAATTAGAAATTAGGATCTAATATTAGAAGACGCTCGACAACTTTTCAGGGAGGGGTCCGTTGAACCTGAAATTTTGTATAGGCCATCACAGATGTAAACGCACGCATTTCCAATTAAATTTACTCCGGTCGGGTGCCTGGGGAGGGTACCTACCAGCCAAACCCACGCCAGACTTGCTACGGAAACAACCAAGAACGCCGCCAAACCTGTCCTTTTAAGTCCCTACTTGCACAGAATCACCACATAACTGCCGGGGGAGTGTTTGCTCGCTAAGGGGAATGCAAAAACACAGAGAGGAAGGGCTAATCTGGTGCCTGCTAGCCAAACCCACGCCAGACCGCTGTGGAAACAACCAAGAACGCCGCCAAACGTGTTTGATGCAGCCCTCTCATGCCTCTTGAGGTGTAAAGGCGCAGTCGCGGTTGGGTTTTTGGCGCCAAGCAGGGCGCCGCAGGTGAGGCACTTCAGCTTAACGACGCCGTCGAGCAGCAGAACGTTGAAAGAAGTCCAATAAGCTGCAAGACCCTTCTTCTTTGCGGAGATCAGAGCTTCTGCATACGCTTTTGCATCAAGTTCCTTGTTGCCATACTTGTACATTGGCCCTGATGCTTCCGCCTTCCGATGAGGAAGGGGTGGCTTTGATGGCCCCGCACCTCTATCTGACATTTTCGTGTAAAATGCACGCAGTGAACCGCTGATGCGCCTTAAAGCTACGGCTTTCCGGCCGTTCTAATGTCCGTACGACATTAGGATGTTCTAATACGTTCTAAACGGGGTCTTCTAAAATTCTAATTAGTTTCTAATTATATTTATTCTAATATTAGTTCTAATGTTCTAATGCCGGCACAACCCTACACATGGTCATCTTGGCGTTGAATCTCACGGTACTACACGCCGCACCCCGCACCGCATCATAAGAGCGGAACCAATACTGAACCAATACTGGGCGTTTGAGATAATTTATCGGATACCGTCCTTGGCTTTGTTCCACGTCCTAGCGCAGTTACCCACGACTTCCCCGCACTTATTCGCAGAACAATGGCGACGGCTCCAACAACAATGAGGATAATGGCGGAGACGGTTGGTACAGTTGCTACACGTTCATGCACCAGATGAAGAACATTGCAACAACCTGCGAGAAGGTCAAGAACTCGCTCCTCTCACTGACACTGCCGCTGGTATTCAAGGTCGTGTCAGATGGCACCAGCTGCTCGGTGGCAAGCGTTGATACCACAGCCAAGACCAGTCCGGACACTCCGATTAGCTGCTTGGATACGATGGATAATACGTGCAATACAATTACACCGTCGCCCTCACCGTCGCCGTCGCCCTCACCATCGCCGTCGCCATCACCGTCGCCGTCGCCGTCGCCATCACCGTCGCCGTCGCCGTCGCCCTCACCGTCACCGTCGCCGTCCCCCTCACGTTCGCCGTCGCCATCACCCTCACCGTCGCCCTCACCTTCGCCGTCTCCATCGCCGACACCATCACCAACCCCGTCGCCGTCGCCGTCGCCCTCACCGTCGCCGTCGCCGTCGCCCTCACCGTCGCCGTCGCCCTCGCCCTCACCATCGCCGTCGCCATCACCGTCGCCGTCGCCGTCGCCATCACCGTCGCCGTCGCCGTCGCCCTCACCGTCACCGTCGCCGTCCCCCTCACGTTCGCCGTCGCCATCACCCTCACCGTCGCCCTCACCTTCGCCGTCTCCATCGCCGACACCATCACCAAACCCGTCGCCGTCGCCGTCGCCCTCACCGTCGCCGTCGCCGTCGCCCACTCCGTCGCCGTCGCCCACTCCGTCGCCGTCGCCCACTCCGTCGCCGTCGCCCACTCCGTCGCCGTCGCCCACTCCGTCGCCGTCGCCCACTCCGTCGCCGTCGCCCACTCCGTCGCCGTCGCCCACTCCGTCGCCGTCGCCCACTCCGTCGCCGTCGCCCTCTCCGTCGCCGTCGCCCTCTCCGTCGCCGTCGCCCTCTCCGTCGCCGTCGCCCTCTCCGTCGCCGTCGCCCTCTCCGTCGCCGTCGCCCACTCCGTCGCCGTCGCCCACTCCGTCGCCGTCGCCCACTCCGTCGCCGTCGCCCACTCCGTCGCCGTCGCCCACTCCGTCGCCGTCGCCCACTCCGTCGCCGTCGCCCACTCCGTCGCCGTCGCCCACTCCGTCGCCGTCCTTATCGCCGACACCATCGCCGACTCCATCACCTTCCCCGTCGCCATCACCTTCCCCGTCGCCATCACCTTCCCCGTCGCCATCACCTTCCCCGTCGCCATCACCTTCGCCGTCGCCGTCGCCGCTGCCACCACCTTCCCCGTCGCCGTCACCTTCCCCGTCGCCATCCCCGTCGCCATCCCCTTCGCCCTTGCCGTCACCGTCGCCGTCACCTTCACCGTCGCCATCGCCGACACCATCACCAAACCCGTCGCCGTCGCCATCTCCATCGCCATCTCCATCGCCGTCTCCATCGCCGTCTCCATCACCGACACCATCGCCGACTCCATCACCGACCCCGCCGCCGCAACCCTCGCCGTCGCCGTCGCCGTCACCGTCACCTTCCCCGTCACCTTCCCCGTCGCCGTCGCCGTCGCCGTCACCTTCCCCGTCGCCATCGCCGTCCCCGTCGCCGTCGCCATCACCTTCCCCATCGCCGTCGCCGTCGCCATCACCTTCCCCATCGCCGTCGCCGTCGCCATCACCTTCCCCATCGCCGTCGCCGTCGCCATCACCTTCCCCATCGCCGTCGCCGTCGCCATCACCTTCCCCATCGCCGTCGCCGTCGCCATCACCTTCCCCATCGCCGTCGCCGTCGCCATCACCTTCCCCATCGCCGTCGCCGTCGCCATCACCTTCCCCATCGCCGTCGCCGTCGCCATCACCTTCCCCATCGCCGTCGCCGTCGCCATCACCTTCCCCATCGCCGTCGCCGTCGCCGTCCCCATCGCCGTCACTTTCTCCATCGCCATCGCCGTCGGCTGAGCCTTCGCTCACGCCGTCACCGTCGCCATCGGTTGAGCCGACGCCCGCACCCTCACCCGATCCGCTGCCCATCCCCGCTTCCCCGTCTATGCCCCCGCTGAACCCATACCCCCGGACGAACGTCACGGATGCGGACGGCAAGGGCAGATGCTACCCGCAGTACGACTTGGACGGCAATGTCATCAACGTTATGTGCATCTACATTGAAATCCCGCCCGACAGCGCCGTACAGATCGGCCCCAATGGCGAGCTCATTACCAGCAGCGGCGTCAACAACACGGAGCAGATTGCCAAGGAAGAGCACAAGGACGGAAGCCTCAAGGAGCCTCCTCAGTCCCCGGACCCGAGTCCCGTGCCCTCGCCCAGCCCCTCTCCATTGCAGCCGCCTAGCCCCAGTTTGGCGCCCAGCCTTGCCCCGTCCCCATCGGTCCCTCCTACGATGCCCCCCATCTTGTCGCCCCTGGACAAGCGAGCGAAGGACCGGCCGGTTATCGTGTTTGATACGGGCGAGGACGACCCTATACGGAACTTCGAGAACCCGCCGGTTGTGCCCGACACGATTGGTTCGTCCTTCGGAGTTGACTCGCCCGCTTTGGAAGGCCCAGGCACGTACACGCACAACACCTCTACGGGCTCCAGTACTGCACTGGGATCTGAGGGCGGCCTCATAGAGGGCGGTACCGCCAAGGATTTGCCTATTGAGCTGGTAGCTGGTAAGGACAACGGCGGTATAGGCTTCATCGAGCCACCAATCGAGCCTGCTGCGTCATCACCATCGCCATCGCCGTCGGCTGCGCCTTCGCCCACGCCTTCGCCATCACCGTCGGCTGAGCCTTCCCCGCCTTCGCCATCACCGTCGGCTGAGCCTTCACCCACACCATCGCCATCACCGTCGGCTGAGCCTTCACCCACACCATCGCCATCACCGTCGGCTGAGCCTTCACCCACGCCTTCGCCATCACCGTCGGCTGAGCCTTCGCCCACGCCATCGCCATCACCGTCGGCTGAGCCTTCGCCCACGCCTTCGCCATCACCGTCGGCTGAGCCTTCCCCCACACCATCGCCATCACCGTCGGCTGAGCCTTCGCCCACACCATCGCCATCGCCGTCGGCTGAGCCTTCACCCACGCCTTCGCCATCACCGTCGGCTGAGCCTTCGCCCACACCTTCGCCATCACCGTCGGCTGAGCCTTCGCCCACGCCTTCGCCATCACCGTCGGCTGAGCCTTCACCCACGCCTTCGCCATCACCGTCGGCTGAGCCTTCGCCCACACCATCGCCATCACCGTCGGCTGAGCCTTCGCCCACGCCTTCGCCATCACCGTCGGCTGAGCCTTCGCCCACGCCTTCGCCATCACCGTCGGCTGAGCCTTCACCCACGCCTTCGCCATCACCGTCGGCTGAGCCTTCGCCCACGCCATCGCCATCGCCGTCGGCTGAGCCTTCACCCACGCCTTCGCCATCACCGTCGGCTGAGCCTTCGCCCACGCCATCGCCATCGCCGTCGGCTGAGCCTTCCCCCACACCATCGCCATCACCGTCGGCTGAGCCTTCACCCACACCATCGCCATCACCGTCGGCTGAGCCTTCACCCACACCATCGCCATCACCGTCGGCTGAGCCTTCACCCACACCATCGCCATCACCGTCGGCTGAGCCCTCGCCATCTCCTTCACCCTCGCCATCTCCTTCGCCCTCGCCATCTGCTTCGCCCTCGCCATCTCCTTCGCCCTCGCCATCTCCTTCGCCCTCGCCATCTCCTTCGCCCTCGCCATCTCCTTCACCCTCGCCATCTCCTTCGCCCTCGCCATCTCCTTCGCCCTCGCCATCTCCTTCACCCTCGCCATCTCCTTCGCCTTCGCCATCTCCTTCGCCCTCGCCATCTCCTTCGCCTTCGCCATCTCCTTCGCCTTCGCCATCTCCTTCGCCCTCGCCCTCGCCTTCGCCTTCGCCATCTCCTTCACCCTCGCCATCTCCTTCACCCTCGCCATCTCCTTCGCCTTCGCCATCTCCTTCGCCCTCGCCCTCGCCCTCGCCGTCGCCCTCGCCCTCGCCTTCGCCATCTCCTTCGCCTTCGCCCTCGCCCTCGCCTTCGCCTACTCCGAGTCTCTGCACCTGCCCTCCTCTTGCCAACTCCGCCGACCGGTGCACCGGTACCAATGCTGGCCGTGTCCCACTTCAGTGGTTTTCGCGCCGCACCAATGCCCCAGTCGCGACGCAGTGCATCGACCCTCCCACGGTCGACTCGCATACTGGCGCGCTAGTCCTGGCCATTTGTTTCCGCCGTGCCTGCGTCGGCGCCGTGGACAGCGACGACATCGACCTCACGGTCGCCAACGTCAGCCTACCTGCGCCCTTCCAGCAGTCCTCTGTCGGTGTGGCCTTGACGCTCCTGCGGCCGTCTTGCGCTGTGGAAGCCTGGGCGGAAGGCTATCCGGTGCTCGCGGACAAGTACAACTCCCTGTTGTTCAACGAGGCAGATACCGTCACGACTCCTGGCGGCGGCTTGGCCGCTTTTACGGCTCATTTGATGGCGACGCCGTACTGTGACGACCGCAGCGCCGTGTTTATGCTCAATGTTATGCCGTTGCAGCTTACAGATACGGTATACAATATGTGTCCCAAGCACGCTATTCCGGACAAGAGCAATGGCAATGCGGATTGCCCTGCTGGCAAGGTGATGGTGTATCTGGACATTACAGACAGCAACTGGAGGAAGGATATGAGCTTCTCGACGGTCAAGCAGGTAGGAGAAGGCTGGCGCTTGTTGGGACTTAGGGTTGGTTGAGGAATTTCTGCGTGCATTGCACTGACCGTGTCTCGGCCAGAGAGCCCCGAGGGGTGTCCTAGGTGCGTTTTCAGAATTCTTGAAGGGTTAGAGAACTAGGTAGGGGACAGGGGGCTTGTTGTGATTGAAACTAGTCTTCCCGCAGCCGTGCTTTGTTTTTACAGCCTTACGTGTCTCTTTTCATTTGTCTCAACGCTTATGTTCGACTGACCTGTCGTCGTTTGTGTTGTGCGTTTTGTTTGTTTAATGACGGGATTTAACCCCTGGGATCCGTTGTCCCTGCCGTGTGCGGTTTCTGCAGTGCGTAGACCCGGCCAACTACGACATGTTTGGCGGCGAGATGGCCATTAGTTACTGCTGGTCGTTCGGCCAGATGCCCGATCCCTTCGCAATCCGGCCGTTCCGGATCCGCATGCCGAATGTGACGTACTACAATATCCAGCGCATGCCCGGAGGCAGCTGGGAAACAAAGTAAGGCTGAGCAGGAGGGCTGGTAGGGGGGTAAGGAAGGGATGAACTTGGAATGAGAATCTGGTAAGTGGAGGCAGCAAAAGCCTAGAGGCAGGGGCAACGAAGCCTTCAGGAGGTTTTGGGGAATGTTGCGGTTCCAGTTTTGCGGTGCGCGTCCGGGTAAATTTGGCGCGTTTCCTCTCCTCGGCCCCTTTCGGGCCCTTCTAATCCTTGCAGCCGTCCCCACGTAGTATATCCCCTTTCCCTAACCCTCCTCTTCTTCCTCGCCGCCCCCACCCGGCGCACTCGTAGGGTCAACCAGCCTATCAACCGTGGCGTTACCGTTACACTCACTGTGAACCCTGTCAGTGGAAAGCCGATTGAGATTTCCGAGTCGGGAACCTACACCTTGCCCTCGACTGGCATATATTCCGTGGATTTGGAAATTTTGGTGCCGGTGGCCTTGGACGACCAATCGGTTTCTGTACAGATGTTTGGGCCCCCCAATCCGCCGCCGCCAAGCGAGCTGTGTCCCTGCCCGAAGCCCCTGCCTGCTGGCGGCGTGTGTCCCGGCACCACGGTCCTGATGACAGCCTCTCTGGTCGCGGATCCCAATGTCACGCAGAGCGGTTGTGTGCCATCACCCTATTGGGATGGCGCCAAGGGTGAGCTCATGTTTTCGCACTGCTGGCGGTACCTTTGCCTGGATTCTAGGTTCCAGAAGCAGGATTACTTCTTGGACTTAGAGTTTACGGAGAAGTACAACGTGGCAGATGTCCCTGCCGGTCAACATCGTCTGGACTGGTTCAAGCCCAAGGTCGTGGATATGTTTTTGAAATTTAAATACAACGACCAAGTTAACCCAGATGATTATGCGCAGTACTCCTCGCGCAACGGTCAGTCACAGATCATTACTATTCCGCCAGGCGGTATTCGTCAGATGGGTGTACGGTTTAAGATTCCGTACATTATGATTTACGACACAAACTCGGGATCAGTGAACCTCAACACGGACGTGAGTCGCTTGCTGCCGCCTCCGCCGCCTCCGCTGGCCATTACAAACTACTCGTACACTGTCAACCGAACTGGCACCGTGCTAAAGTCGCAAATCTTTGTGAGCGACCTGGTCAACGTCAGTCACCTGGACCTCAGCTCCATGACTAACTTCAGTTCGGACATTCAAGGCAATCTGGAGTCCTACATTATGACTTCTGACGTCACCTTCCCGGACTATGGCCTCGTCAAGAGTTGCACGCCCTCGGACATCCAGACGGTCCTAAACTTGGTGGCTGCCAAGTACGGCGTCAGCGCCGATTCTCTTTCGGCTTCGTGCCAGTACAATTACGTAAAGCCGGGATCCACGACATCGGCAAGCGCGCGCCGTCGCGGCCTGCTGCAATCGACCGCCGACACGAATGGCACCAAGGTTTGCAAACCGCGTATCTCTTTGACAATAACGCTACCGCTGAATGCGCCACTAAACGGTGACCTGACGGGGGCTCTGGCTGCTGCCACTACTGCGGCGAATGCGGTGTACACTGCCGTGGGCGACTCGGCATGCTACGTGCCCACTGGCGCGGAGAGCACCATTGGCACCGTGGTATCGTTTACGACGAACAACGCCAAGGCCACGTGCGAGTACTTGCTGCAGGTACGTGTGGTCACGGGCGTTGGGGACCTCTACTCAATTTTCAAGAGCGCCTTGGGACAATGTAGCAGCTGGTGATTGCATACATGTACGTGTGTATGTGTGTAAGTATTTTTTGCCGCTGCTGCTGCTGCTGTTGTTGTCCACAGGCTTTTGCTAGCAGCAACAACCTGACTTCGGACATCGTGCGCACATTCCGATGCGAAGACTACGATCCAAAGAAGCCGTACGCAATTGGACTAATCAGTAAGTAGATTACCTTGTAGACTCGAGCCGGAAATGTATGTGAAATGAACACGTTGACTTTGCAACAGCAAGACGCGGCGAAGCCCCTTGAGGATGAGAGATGTCTATGAAAGCGACAACAATTTTGGAATGCCTGGGGTTTCGTCCTCAGCCCAAACCGCGAATCTATTATGCCTCACTCAACCGTTTGGCAGTGTCTCCCTGTCCCGAGCTCAAGACCGAATCCAACGCACCCCATGCCGTCACCCTTGCGTTTCCTTACATGACTCCCTCCCGTCCCGTGCGTGCCATATGTGCGCAGTACTCTGGTCGGTGATCGGCAGCGTCGGCATCATCATTCTCGTTCTCGGTACCGTCATTATTGTGACGTGGCGGCGACGCAAGACCCGGAACCTGTTGCTCATTGACGCGCACGGCTCGGATGTGTTTAGGCGGCCTCGCTCGCCGACCAACAAGGTTGTGCCTGACGATGCGTACTACAAGCAATATGCTTTGGGCGAGGGTATGGACCGACCCAATACGCCAACACGGCGCATCTTTCCGCTTTCCGGTTCGCGGCCTTCCTCTGGTGGCGCCGTGCCGATGGTGGGTGTGGCGAACCGACCACGGATCTCAGCCTGGCGCGACTTAGAGGCGTAGTAATGGTGGTTGAGGCACTGTAGAAGAGTTGCTTGGTTGTCTAATAGAGCACACAGTTGGAGATGTTTGAGATTTCAGATGCGCGCTGCGGGGTTGTCCGTTTTACGTTTTGTTCGTTGTTTCTGTTTTGAGTGACGCCGATGATTATTCTCCCTTTATCTTCCTGATTGGCAAGATGGAGAGCGCTTGGTAAGTGAATACCTTTGGTTCGCGTGGATATCAGCCCAGCCAGGTGTTGCAGCAACATCCGTTGGCCACCGTTGGCAGCAGCAGTAACAGGGGGTGAGTGGAGCCGTAGCAGGAGCGGTACCGCGATTCGATAGTACCTAGCAACCAGCACATGTTTTTGGTGTATTCGTGGTCTCGTCCCATTGGCGTACAGTTTGGCGATTTGGATGAGCGGGTATTATTTCCAGTCTTGGCAACTAAATTGCCAAATTTACAGCAGGAGCCCCTGTAGCAGGCAACAATTTCCTGCGAATAAAATAATAATGCCCTAATTGTTCATATTTTCGTAACATTTTTTTAAAAAGATATATTGCATCGTCGCGCTGCCTGCCAGCTAATGGAGATGGCTTCAAGTAACATGTTTGTGATTCGACTTATAAATTGGCAGATCGCGACAGTAATTTACGCGGCTAGGAGTTTGTCCTGTCTGTTGTGTGTGATTGCTGGTTGTGTGTACGACAACACGAGTCTACACGGGAACGGAACACCAATAAGCTAACCCGCCGTGGGGCCGCGGATGCGGACTTCACATCAAACGTGACGACGTGATAGTATCAAGATGATTTTATTTCATTTTCCCTTTTAACATTGTGAATAGATTTTTCGTGCTTGCTTTTTGTGATGACGTTATCCACCCACATTATTTTTATGTGGCCTTCTGCGATTACATTTCGTGTGGCGTTGCGCTTGAGTGACCTTGTTATTATTGTTATTATTATCCCTTTGTCGTCCGTGTATTTATGTGTGCATGTGCGTGCGTGAGCGAGGTGTGCGCGTGTGGTATGTTGCCTGCTGCGCCATTTCCTTGCGTTACACGAGCACACGAGTCCAATATGTTCCGAGTACAGCCCCCGACTCAGCACACGATGGTTAGGGCTGGGAGGTTGACTTGGTGGGCTGGGTAGGATTTAGGGGCGAAGCGCGAGTGGTCAGTGCACGCCGCCAGTGTTTCGCGGCGCTGCCTCGGGTTTTGCTGTCTGTTGTTTGTTGTTTTACTGTTAGGGTTTGCAAAGAGACATTATGGACGGGCCACGGACGGTCTGCTGGAGCGATCCGACGGAGGATAGAGAAATGGAACGCCACGAGGCGGGGATTTAAGAACGCCTCGTGATGGTGGTTTGGAGTCTCCGTTGGCCGCACTGGGGTGAGCGCCAGAGAAGTATTCGTGTTTGTAGGAAGGTGGGTTATCGCCGTGGGCAGGGGAACGCAGACATTGGACACGCTGCGACGCGAGAGTACCTCACGAGCCCTGTGAGATACTGACGGCGATTGTGCGGTGCACCGCAGCAAAGAGCAGTACAAAGTGTTCCTGGTCTTTTTCTTTGCGCCGAAAAGTTTGGATGGAAATGAGTTTCTGGGCGTTCGTTAGGACTTGACACGTTGCGTGTATGATTATTTGGTATAGAATACGTACGTATGTACGTATGTAAGTACTTATGGCTGCCAGGGTTGCGGTGCTCTTGTGTGGGGCAAAATCCGCAGGCGCCGCAAGAATGTTGGCACTCACATCAAAACAGTAGCATGTTGTTACTCTGTCGGGACTAATTCCGGACTAAAGCCCGTGGAGATCGTTTTAAGTGTCGAGCGTGAACCTGAAAGAGTGATTCAGCAGGGAACGGGGTTTCCCTTGCCGCGGGCTAACAATGTTTTCTCCTGACCCGTGCTGAACAAGCACGTTATCGCTCCTCGCCACGCGGTGATGTACGTAGGAGTGGCGGCCCGTTAGGGGCCTCGCCCCGCCGTAATGGTGCTGCTGTATGTGTTGCGGTATATGTGGGGAGGTGTGTGCATGCCATCCGGCAGCGGGGCCCCATGCCGCCGGGTTGCGGACCTTGTGTGTGCATACCTCACTTTGCGTGAACTGAACCTATCTTGCTTCTTGCCGTACACTCGTCGTGTACATATGCATGGAAAGATGGCGGATGACGGCGGTAGCTCATTACTGCGGATGTGGCAGATGGTTTCTTTCCTCCTGTTTTTCCATCTCTCAGCACATGTAAACTGGACCGATGTGGTGGTTGTGCGATGCTGGGTGTACATATCGTCTCCATCGCCTTCCTTTCCCTCCATCGCTTTGTCGCATGGTACTTTGGCGTTGTAAATGTACCGTGATTAGAACCAGTACGTGATAGTCATACACACATCGTCTGAGGGCCAGTGAGAGGCCTAAGTCAGCCCAGGTATAACAGTGGTGTCGACGTTGACGATGATGATGGTGACGGTGCCGAGTAATATTGTCCTTACCTGATGGTGGATTGTCCTTACCTGATGGTGGAGAACTATGAGCTGCATGTACCCCGACAAGCCTACAGCCATGTAGGCAAAACGTTGAGCAATTTGAAGTTGCGGTGTTGATGCATAGATATGGCATCTTGCTATGGCGCCGCTCCATCGGCTCATCGATGTGCATGCTGCCTGTGTTCATGGGGCGCAGCTGGTCCCCGTAATTTGTTTACTCAATCCTCCTGGAACCGCACTCCTTTCCCTTTGGAGGCCTGTAACGGTACTGTTGCGATGACTGTTGCCGCTCCTGCTGCTACGGCGGCGGGGCAATATGGCCGCCTTCATCAACCTTTGGACTTTGGATGTGCAACGAGCGACACCGCACCATCGGCAGTGCATTTTTTCTCGGCGTAGATCCTGAACAGGCCTTTCGCGTCTCCCCCACGAGGGGAGTGCAACAATGGAATGGATTGGAGTAGAATGCTGTAGAAGTCCGTGGCTTGCGGACTGGGAAACCCCCGACCCCAGTCCTCCCGAAGCTAGGAACCACGGATGGGTTCATTCAGGTCACGCGTACGCTGTGACAATGTGCATGAATGCACCAGTTTCTACTAATTGTTGGACGAAGAGAAAAATCTATAGATGTTTTCTAGATCCACATCAGTGTGTGCACATGTAACTTTATACATACATGCGTACATACTCTATGCAGGGGTGTTGCATGTGCCATACCTGGCTCAATCAAAAAGTGCGCATTTAAGCTGTAAGAGCCCCCAAGGAGCCCCCAAGGAGCTTTCTATCGGTTTCATATCGGTAAGCCCCGTTGCGACTAGTTGCGCGTCTACGCGTTGTGGAAGATGGGGCCATGATGCGGAAACCGCAAGAAAGCACTAAAAGGAGAGAGGTTATACCGGATACACCGGCCGACAAGATTGATAAGGCCGGCTATGCGGTCATCGGACTTTTTCAGGTACTATCCTGCGCGATTTGCTGCGCATAATCTAGTTGAGGACCGCAACTACAAGTATTGGTTTTCCCCAGATGATCCATGGAAACTTTAAGAGCCCGGCGACGGCCGCGGATTAAGAACCGAAAGCGCAGCAGGGTTCTTCACCCCGATTCGGGCCCGAACTTTTTTGAGATATTTCCATTTTGACCGAAAGGAAAATTAGTGCGCCCCGGAGCATTCCGAACGGATTTTGGGCCTTTTGGACCATTTTTTCGGGGGCCCCACCGAAGCATTTTGAAGGCATTTTCGGAATAAACCGAACGATATTTCAGCGTAAATTTGCATGTTTTCGGATACAGACAGGGCCTGGAAACCGGGCTTGCCGTATAAGGCCCGCTTGGTCACCAGTCAAACCCTAAGTATAAATGTCCATTGCGGCTGTTACGCACCTGTATCGCAGACATTTTCATACATCTAAGCATATGCATATGCCACATTTTCATACATCTAAGCATATGCATAGCTAAACATGCCCGAATCAGTTGATAATCAGCGCCCAACCAAGGTGCCCCGCATCTCCCTCGGGATTCGCGGCTTCTTTAAGGCATCTGATAAGTTTCTATCATACAAATAATATAATAGTGGCGCTATGAAAGTACCAGGGGAACTGATGTTGCTAGCACACTTTTGCCACTCGGCAAGCTCTACCCGCCTGTTTGCATTTGATGTCGCGATCTTGACGATTTGCAGAAAAAGTTTTCAGTTATGAAGTCTAAGATGGCCTTGCAGTTGGAGCTGGGCCGCACCTCCTGGGAGCGGGCCTGGGCTGGAATGCATCAGTGGGCCCACTTCTTTCCACACTTGATTAAGTTGGTGTATGTCGCTTGTGTCCTGCCCACTCAAACAGCGTGTGTCGAGCGTGGCTTTAGTGTCCACCGCATTATCAAGAACAGGCTGCGCAACCGGCTGTCTGTCCCATCCATTGATTCCCTTCTGCGTGTTGGATTACTCGGTCCAACCGTGGATATGAAATGCAAACCACTTGTGATTAAAGCTGCTGAGGAGTATGTTGCAAAGAACCCGGATGGGCTCCTGCACCGTATTGCCAAGGTGGGCGACTGTGTTCTGCCTGATGAGAGTGATGATGAGGGCAGTGTGGGCAGTGAAATTGCTGAGGCCTATTATCCTTCTCATAAAGAGGTGGTCGAGAGTGTGGCAAGTGATGAGGTGTACCCGTCTGAGGAGACGGACGATGACGATGTGGCAGGTGTGGTGGAGGCGATTGCTGCAGAGATTGATGAGGAGCGGCGCCTCCTTGGTTTTGCGTAAAATCCTTGCTGAAATATTTCTCCCAGGCCCTAAGCTCCAAAATAAAATCAAACATCTGTTAGTTCAGCCGCCCTAGCATATAACGATAGAATCTAGCTAATTTCCACCCCGAAGACTGCTTCAGACAGCTTCGGGGTACCCGAAAACACGGTCAGGCTGACAGGAAAAATTTCGGGGAGGGCACCGAAAGATTATTCAGAGGATTTCGGACACAGCCGAAATTTTGGGGTACCCTGGTGAAGAACCCTGAAGCGCAGGCTGCTCCAAAGCCGCGAAAACTGAGCTCCAAGCTCAAGACCAGGGTTAGAGGTTTACAGGCTGCAACACAAGGCTGCATAGGCGAGAAACATTTGGCCGTGCGGTGCTTTAGTCTGCCGTACATTTAACAGACTGTTATCGTGATGGCGCGCTACTGCGCGATGGCGGGTATATATGACCAGGTTGTATCAAAAGGCGTTTGCTGTAAGCATGTGGAAACTTATTAAACAGCGCTGATACCGGCTGCAGCACATAAATGCGTGAAAATGCCCTTTCTTTATTAGGTTCGAAGGATGCCACAGCCGGTGTCGCTTCTTCCGTCGTGGAAGGTGCTGAACGCGCTGTTTCTGACGCGCGATGAGTTTAGCATTTTGTCCGCTACTATCCAGCACCTTATAGTTTTGGATATACACGGGTGTACCATATCAGGAGCTTTTGTAATTGCTACAATTAATGGGTTTCCTGAACTTCAACGAGTTCGAGGTTTTGCTGTCGGTACGCGCGGGAAGACTTCACGCTGCAGCCGGCCCAGGCGTACACCATAATTCTTAAAGCACTGCTGCTACCGTTGGCACCCGGAACACTTCCAGACGCAGATCGCCTTAACGTGCTCCTGGACGAGGCAACGACATGCGCCGTCAGCGACCTCAGCGGGGACCGCCCAAAACCTTATGACTGGCCAGCGCTGGAGGCGACCGCGGCCGCGCGAATCCTTGCGGGTCGCTGGAATCACGTGACCCAGCACGAGGTGAACAGGAATTCGTTTACCTGCATTAATTTTACGCGTGGAAATATGGAGCACTCCATCTCCCTTTGTAAAGCAGAACCTCTCGCTGGCAGTCATGCCTCTGCCTTCTGTGTCCACCTCGCCGGAGCGGAGAACGACTTTTTCAACTCTTCTCAACGTTCCCCCCGCCCTCGCGCGCCGCCTCAAAAAGCCTTGCCCCGCCATCTACTCACTCCCGCGCATGCTCCTCCCTCTGATTTCCCCCCTCACATTTCCTAACCCCACCGCCATTTTCTCTGCGCGCTGCTTCGCATGACGCAGGTGGCTCGGCTGGCACTCAACCTGGCGGCCCTGTGGGAATGCAGCGAGATGCTCCGAGATCACGGCTTTCCGTTACCACCGCAACCGCCCTCTCAAGAGGCGAAAGAGAAAGTGGCAAAGCGTCAAACGCCATCAGCTAACACCGCACAGCAGCCGCCGCAGCAACAGCAGCAGCAGGATTTGCCACAGCAACAAAATCAGCCAAAGCCACAGCAGCCGCAGCCGCATCTGTGTCCACGAAGACTGGCAGTAGCCGCTGCCGCTGCTGCGGCAGCAGCAGCAGTAGCAGTAGCGCCATCATCAGTAATAGGCCGCAATCCTCAGAGTGTCTCTTCCGCCGCCCCTTCACACGCGCCGCAACTCATTGACCTCACGGACAGGACGAACACCAATACCACCAAACCCGACAATAACAACAACAGCAGCAGCAACAACAACAACAGCAACCCTGCTAATACAACGTTTGATAGACATGTTATGGGTAGGGTCTGTGGTAATGTTGTCGGGGGTGATGGGGACGGAAAAACTCCCCAACGGGTTGCGATGCTCAAGGACTGTCTCCACAAGATATTGCTGTTGAGAGTCTCTGAAGGGCTGAGTAATGTACGGCATTGGGTACGGCACTGGCAACCCTGGAGTGAGACCACGGCTCAGGGGCTCGCTGCATGTGGCGGGGGTGCTGACCGTACGGCTGCTGATGGCGATGCTGGTGGTGGTGATGAGCGCAGTTCAAAGAAGGAAGGCGGGATCCCGTCGCCGCCGTTCAGTGGGGAGGAGGTTTCCAGAGAGGTGGGGAAGACGCAGCTGCCGGATTCATCGGCGGCGCCGCCGCCGCCGACAGCACGGTCGATGTCTCCCCTTGCGGCTCCTCAGCTGCGTCACTTGGAGGGGAAACCTCCAGAACCTCCTCCTCCGTTGCCACCACTGCCGCCGCCGCTCCCGCCGCCGCTGCCTCAGCAGCCACCTAGTGCTAATGGCGGCAGCGGCTACTGGGACGATACGCCGGACGCAGTGCTGGGATGTGCTGTGCCGTCTGCGACTGGTACTGCTGCGACTGTTGACAGAGGTGCAGGCAGTAGCAGTGGGCCTGTCGTACACCAGGAGCCCAGTAGAGCAGTGGCAGAGGCGGACCGCAGCACGCAGCCACCGACGACGGCCCCAGCGGCAGTAGCAGTACTAGCGGCTGTAGCGCCAGGGGCGAGCACTGGGAGGGGTAACAGCAGCGGCGCCGCCGGTGGCGCCGTCGACAACGGCATCCTAGGTAGCGCACTACGAGGCGCAGGTGCTGGGGCGACATGCAGAAACGCTGACGGCGGCGACGTTTCGAAGCGCGACCGCGACTCGAAGCGCTCAGAGGAGCGTCGTACGACAGCTGCAGCGGAACTAGGAACTGAAGGGAGGCACCGGCAGTCACGGACCGGGCCACGGTCACGTTCTCCGCGCCGCCCCGATTCGGAGTCTTTGACTGAATCTTTGACCGAGCCGTGCCGTACAAGGACGGACCCCAGTGCCAAAGGCAAACAGGAAGGGCCAGGAACAGGGAAGGCCCGTGACCACCGTACGACCAGAACCACGGCCAATATCATGGAGGAGAAGAACAACAGGAGCAGTAGTCGTAAGGAAACGTGCACTTGTGTTCCCCCAGCACCTCCTGCGGCGGCGGTGGTGGGGACGGTGTCGGCGCCGCGACAACGGGGCGCCACCTCGGACCACCGTGACAGACGTGCCGTGGAATTGGACGCGCAGCGCCAGACGCGGCCGGACGAGCAGAACGAGCAGAAGAGGGGGCGGCAGGATGAGCGTCGTACGCAGGAGAAGGAGGAGAACGGGAAGGCCAGGTCGCCGTCGTCATCGTTGAAAAAAAAGAAAAACAAGGACGCGGCGGCAGTGGAGGAGGAGGAGGACAAGGAGGAGAAACGGCGGCAGGAGAAGAAGCAGCGGAAGGAGTCCGAAGCCGGCGGTGGCGGTGGTGGTGGTGGTGGTGGTGGAGGCAGAGTGCGCAGGGGCCCGCCGGAGACGGAGGCACGAGGACGAGAGGCAATGGATCGGCGTGGGCCGGGTACAGTGGCTGGGGGGAAGGGGAGGCCGGCGGCGACTGATGAAAAGACACGCGATGGCGGCGGCGGTGACGGAGGCAGCCGTGATCCGCCTTCCAGATCATTGAATCCAAATTCGGATGCAAATTTGTTCCTAGACAGCTATGGGCACAGGGGGCCGGAGCAAGGCGGTACAGGTCAACGCAGTAAAAAGGAACTTAGCAGGCACGACAGCAAGGCGGCAGGAGAGGCGTCGACAGGGCCGTTGCCGCCGCCGCTGACCCTGACGACGATGATGGCCTGTCCGCCGCTATCACCGACCTCGCCTTTGCCGGCGCCTCTAATGCCTTTGCCGCCGCAGCCGCAGCCGCCGGATCCCCGGCAGGCGCCACCGCTGCAGCGGCAGCCGGCGGAGGAGAGTGGACGGCAGCGGTGCCAGGTATTGCTGAGGGGAAAGGGGGATTCGTGCGCGCAAACCGCGGAGGGCGAGGCTCCGCCGTCATCGTCGCCGCCACCGCCGCCGCCGCCACTCTGCGGATCTCGCTGGACTTTGTCCCTTACGGCGGCACCAGCGAGTACCGCCGTGACGGAAGGTAAGCTGGCGCCGCCGCCAACACCCTCACAGCAGGGGGTGTCGTGTCTCTGTCCGCTGACGGCAGCTCAGCAGGCGTCCGCCGCCGCCACCGTCACAGCTGCCCCGAGTAACAGCAGCAGCGGCGGCGAAGAGCGACACGGCGCTGGCCGCGCGACCAAGCGTCCGCAGATGACTGAGAAGCACAGGTCCGCGAATGAAATAAATAATGACGACGGGGACGGCGATGCCGCCACCGCCGCCACCGGTGGTGGTGGCGACGGCGGCGGGACCGTGGCCGTGGCCGTCACCAGCTCAGACGCGCCAGCGAGCCGTGTTGGGCCGTCGGCGGCGGTGGCTACGGATACGGCACGGGTCGGCAGCGGCGGCAGCGGCAATGTTGGTGACCACGGCGCCGGGAGTAATGGGACCAAAGGTCGAGGGAAGGACAGTAGTAGTCGCCACCGTGCCACTGGCAGCGGCGGCGGCGGCGGCAGCAAACGCAGTCGCAGTCGCAGCTGTAGCCCGAGCCGGGGCCGGCGGCGGCAAGCGTCGGACGCGGCCGCGGCGAAGGCGGGTAAAGATGACGGCAGTGGAGCCAAGCGCAAATCTTTGCCTGATAAGCCTAGTCCCTCCAAAGGGCGGCATAAATCCAGGATCAGATCCAGATCCAGATCCAGGTCGCGAACGAGAACAAGATCCAAGTCGAAGCCTCGGGGCCATCAAGTCACCGATTACTTCAATGTTGGCCGCTGGTCGTTTCAAGTGCAAAAAGCCGTACAGCGAGAACCTCGCATTACCGTACATGATTTGCCAAGGTATGGCAACCCCAGTCTTGACCAGTATTGTTCTCGGTGGCGGCGGTTCTCTCTCCCCCGACGCTGTCTCTGTTTGAACACTTTGAGTACGGGAAGGAGCTACCTGCCCGTTTTTAAATATGTACGATAAAGAATACATGGTACAGTGTACTGCAGAAGACTAGATTCATAACAGGAGAATAAAATCCCCATCACCAGGAAAGTATATTATGAAATTATCAAACATATTCCGTCGGGGCCCGAAAAGTACTGAAGTCAATAAATTTATTGATAAATGTTGTTAAAAACTTTGTTGCTAAATTGTATTAATATTTATTAATGTACTGATAGATGTATATACAAATTTATTGGTAAAAACACCTTTTAGCGTGAAAAAACACCTATTGACAAGAGTGTTTTTGTTGTTAAAAGCACTTCATTGTAAAGGTGTTTTAAATCAACATTAAGAGACAGTTTGTTGTTTTCGACATGCCAGGATAATGTCAAAATTGGTGGAATGCTGCCTTTAGCAGGAACTTTAAACTCAGTAACAAGTTGGACATTGGCTCCTTCGGCATTGACTTTACTTTCAGGCGACTCCAGGCAAGTCATAAGTACCGGAAATATTTGTCGTCAGGAAGGACACTGAATAAACTATGATATAAGGAGAAGATGATATGGGAAATTACGGTATGCGCCTACACACCGAATGTCTCCGAACGATGGCAAGATAGGGTCTGATCCCGGCCAAATAAAAAATTAAATTATTATCCATCTGGCATGAATTAAAAGTAATTTGCGACTGGATTGACGCCCCATTTTTTGCCCAAGCAACAGGATGGGATTGGATGTTCCCGAAGACGTCATCGCCCAGTGGCGGGCTCCCGACTTTACGGCGTTTGTGGAGAGCTTCCCCTGGTTTTGGCGGGTCACACGTACGGGAGTGCTGGTACCCGGCTCATCCGTCGGACCGCCGCCGCCGCTGCCGGCGTACGTGGACCGGTTGTCGTACCCTCCCGATGCCTTGCGATCCGACGCGGATGCGGGACGCCTCTTTCGAGGCGGCCCTGGCCTGGGGTCTCTGCCGTCGTCGCCGCCGCCGCCGCTACCTTCTTCGCCGCCGCCGCTGCCGTCGTCGCCGCTGCGGCGGCTGCCGCACATGGACGATTCGCCTATGCGGAAAGGGCCTTACTAGTACGACGGGCATTTTCGATCACTTCCGACGTTGCTGTACGATACGGATCCCTTATCTGGCCTTTGAGACTATCGCTCGTCGCCGCCACAACCTTGGCCGCGACGGTGATGATCACAAGGCTGGTTGATTCTGCATAGGATTTGATGCCCTCGACCGACCCGCGGGACCCCCGGGAGGTCGGTGTGGTGTGGTATATTTCAATGATCTGAGCAGCGATGCGGGAAATGCCCATAGTAGCTATATGGTGTGGTGTGGTGGAGGAATTGGGTTTTGCCGTCAGCTATTGACGCCACCGCCATCGTTGCGGCTGTTGCTGCTGCTGCTGCTGCTGCTGCTGCTGCTGTGTTTTTGGCGGCAGTTTGGTGGTAATGTGGGTGAGGCCGTGGACGTGCACAGGCAGTGAGGAAGCTGCAGGCTGTGGCAGCGGGCGCCACATCGCGGTAGGGCGACGCGGTGTTGCAGGATGGTGCAAGGGGGGGGGGTTGCAGCGGTGGGTTCCTTTGTTTGACCAAATTGGCCCCCGGAGGATGGGGCCTCGCAGGGAGGGAGGATACGTTCATCTGCGTGTGTATGTGTGCGTGCGGGTGTGTATGTGTGAATCAGGGGGGTGTATCTTCGCCCGTGGCAGCTACCCTGCGAAACCCTGCCTTCCCCGGTATTTCGGGGCACCCTCATCCGGTCACCCTAGTCAACCTCTCAGTGGATCGCTCAGGCTCCGCACCCACCACCAGCATCCAACGGAATCTGCCGGGTCGACAGCGGCCCAACTCCATTCCTGGTCGGCTCGCAGGTTCACTTTATCCCAGGTCACCACCGTCCATCAACTAGTGGCGCAATGCCTCCCACCGTCGGAAGGACTTTTGACCCTAATGGGTATCGATCCCGGGATCTCCCGGGGGCAATGGTTGCGCCTGACCAGTAGTGCCAAACCCTAGTATATGTGTATGTGTTTAATGAAATGAGCTACGATAGGAAAGTGGCCCTGTATGTGCGTGCAATTATGTATGTATGTATGTGCGGGTGTATGTGTGTAAATTGCTCAAGGCACGTAGGATAGAGATCCGCCGGTGGCAATGCAAAGGGGCAGGGGGGGTAAGGGCACCGTTGCCCACCGGGGGAGGCAGGGGGCTGGGGGGGGGAGAGGGTCCCGGGGTGTGGCGCGTCCCCCCCTTTCCTCCCCTTCTTCCTCCCCCCCCCCATGTCGTGTATTTATGTTTTCTTTGCGCCGAGGGTTTACTGTCATGTGGTCTCATGGGCTTATTGCGTGGCTCTGCTTTCTGTACGGCACACGTACTGCGGATATGGTATGTCGTACGACCTCTGTGACGTAGGATCACGTAGGATCCGTTTGCGACGGAAATGTAAACGCAACTATTATCAACCACATTACGTGCGGGTAGATTGCCTCGGATGCCGTACGTACGAGGTGGATCCGGTGAATGGAGACCCTAAGCCTCTGAAGCTTCGAGGGGGCCGGTGGTGGCTGGGGATGCAGATTGTGCGTGGGGGGGCTGAGGGGGCCCCTGCCTGTGTATGCTGTGTTTGGACGGGCCGGGTAAATTATGCCGGTTGCACCCACCATCACATTTTCCGCGTCAAATTTGTTTGTGTTTTATTACTAAGATTTTGTCGCACGGAATTATTCGGCTTCACATAACACATGCATACATACATACATGCGTGCGCACATGTATGTATGTTGTTACAGGGTGGTTAACTTCGCCAGCGGCCCCCTTTCCCGGGGCAGTCCCTGCTCTCCCCTGCTAGAGGGGCACCCTAATCCGTCACCCCATCCGACTTCAGAATGTATTCGTTGGGTTCGGCAACTCACCACCAGCATCCAACCAAATCTAGCGGATCAACGGCGCATCAACTTAGTTCCTGGTCAGCTCGCAAGTTGATATTATCACGTCCGACATCGTCCATATGATGGGGGCCTACCTCCCATTTCAACACTCCTCAAAACACCCGAGGAGCCGACAGGCGGATTTAAATCCGGGTCGGCCGGGAGCAGAAGTCAGGCCTTAATCTCTGCCAGCCGCCTGCCTTGTATGTATGTATGGCGGCGGCGGCGGCTATGCTGTTTGGGGCCGTCTGCTCCGAAACCCATACCCATATCCGGCCTTGAGTTTAAAAGAGTCTGGAATACAAATCTGTCAGCCCTCATCCGTCAGCCTACTTTTGATGGCACACACGCAGATCCATGAAATGATAATGTTCCGTCGTCCCATCTGGGCGGCAAGTGGCGTTGTTTTACTCCTAAGAAAGTTTATTAACTTCTCTTAGGCTTGACCATCTTCATTACTTGCTGATCCTAAGCTGCCCCTAGATGTTAACGCAGATATGGTTAGAAGTGAACGGTTGCATGTATGGCTTGGGATGAATAGACTTGAGTGTCATTAAATTTATTTTGTATGGTGCAGACAATAAAAGGATTTAAAGCTCTTTTAAACCACTCTTGATTCCCAACACTCCGCAGTTCAGTTGGGAGGTAGATGACTGGGGTAAATTGTACGGCAATCATTGATGTGACTGTACTTTGTTATACAGATGGTCAAGCGATGGGGACATCACCGTTGGATTCGTTATGCACAAGCCGACCTTGTGCCTTTGATGGAGGAAACGGCGCCATACAAGGTATGATTTATGCAATTTCACGACGATGATTGCTTGGTTGCGATCTTGTCGAACCTAAACTGCTGCCATGCAATTTGCAATCTTGCAAAGTTACTGACAGATAGTAGCATAAACAAAAGGCTTTTACTTGAACCACACATACAGCTTAGCGGCATCTTTTAAGTCTGCCGGCCTGGGGCGACTAGCGTCAGTAGGGCTGAACTGGTAATTCGAACTGGTGACCTACCTTGCACAGCTCAGCTCGTATGGATGTATGGAGGAACATGCTGCACCGAGGCATTGCATGTTGATTAAGTGCTCGTCCTGTAGTGTAGTACGGCAAGTGCGGCGCGGGAGGAGCAGACCGGAATTGGCCAGAGGACAGTGACTGATACGGTAGTGCGTTACAAAGATTAGCTGGGAACAAAGCGCTGAATCCAGACAACGCTAGTTCGCCAGTCAACCGTGCAAGCAAGCGCAAGTCAGAACGTCGTCTGTTGGGGATTTTGAATTGTTTAAATAGTGATTTACTTTGTATTCGGGACCCAGCTCAATAGTAAAATAGATAAGGCGATTTGACGTTGCTGGCATATCGGTCGCCAGTAACAGCGAAGTGATGGCAGAGCGCGAGCAATCGCGCGGCGGAGGCCAAGAAGGCTTGGAGGACATCCTCCAACAGCGGGACGAAGGAGGACACCAGAATGGCGGAGCACCTAGTTACCCGGAGGGGGCCGATGCGGTGAGTAACAGACGCCAGCTATTGCTCCGCGCGGTCAGACTGTAGGCACAGCCAGCCGCCGCAAGTTCTGTTATATCAAAGGCATGGGAGAGACCGGACCCAGTTTTAAAATAGCGGGAAAGGGATGCGCCGCCGCTGTTGTTTGACCAGGCTGGATTAGAAGCTACGGGTCAGGCTTAGCTTATGAAGAACACGAATCTGTAGACCGCGAGTGGCCGACTCAGAGTATTAGTGCTCGTGAGGTTGGGTCCGTTTCCGGTGGATGGCGCCGCGGCAGAGGGGTAGTTGCTTTGAGATGGCGCAGCGGGGTCTGTTATCCCAACGGGTCCCTGTCCTGAAAGCAGCCAAAAGCCCGCAATAGCGCCTAGGCAGGGGCACGCCCACTGGGGGCCACGCCCGGGGAAAAGAGGCACCTAGTCGTCGGCTTCACACTTCGGCAGGAGCAAATGCCCAAAAGTAACCATAGCCT